ATTTGTAAATTGTTTACAGAACTAAAATATATTAATTTTGAGATTAATTGACCCCTATAATTGATCCATAACATTGATATAACTCATTAATTTAATTTCAATATTTCTCTAAAATGTTTTGTGGAGATTTCAGTAATTTATTAGTTGAATTCATGAATCATTTGAAGCTTCAAGAGGTATTTCCTGGAATCCTAGTGAGAAACAGTGACCAGTGGAGTTCAACCAGGTCTGTTGTGAGATAATAACTCACTGAAGACAAAGATGGACGATGGCTCAGTTTCGTGAATTGGTTGAAATTCGATATTAACACCGTTGAATGCCAGCTCAGTGATCTAGAGGTTAAATGTTCGCGCGTGAGCCTGATAGGTTCTGAGTTCGAATCCTGCGGGCGGGATCGTGGATGCGCACCGCTGAGGGGCCTCATACTAGGCTGTCCAGTGCCTCGGGATTTTCCATGGTGGTCTAGCTTCAATCGACTCATGAATTCAACTATCAAATATTTCTGTTGTTTTTTGTAAAATTTTGGAAGGGAACTACAAATATTTCATTGCGAAACCATATTAACCTTAATGTTTACTTAAAATAAGATTACTTTATAAAGGATCTATTTAGATTTAAAGAGGAAGAACGTATTTGTAAAATCTTAGCGAATGAATTTGAAGTATATCCAACGTTTTGCCCGACAGTCTGGTTCGCAGAAACATGTACTTATTTATATTCAATAATTTTGATGTTTGATTAACAGTCCTTGAAAAAGCTTGAACCAAATTGCTGAACAAAACATTGGATTTACTTCAAATTTATTCGCTGAGATTTTACAAATAAATTCTTCCTTATTAATGTCTTACATCAACTCGGCGCCCAAATACTGTGAAACAATCTGATCAAATTTAAGCAAAAGTCCTAATATATATTTAGATCGTTTAAGAATACAATTTTTTTTTCATTTTGATAGCAAAAACCTTTTCATTTTCACTTTGAATGAAGTTAAAAATTTATTTTAACATGAATTAATTTTTAAAAACAAAACACTGATAACTTGATAAAACAAGCTTTCGAATGAAAACAATGAATTTTTCAACATTATAAGTTCAGCTTCTCATAATCAGCCTAAATCGGGTAAATACAAACTGTGAAACTAACGAATACGAAAACATTACATGCTAAATAATGTTCAATACAGCTGTAGACTTATTAAATAAAAAGACATTCATTTAGGTTACTAGCTAGGTATATTCAAATTTGACTAGATACTTCTAAAATTGACAGTACAATTTTATATTGAAAGTATTAGAAGGCCCTTCTTGATTCCAAGCAATGAAAACATTTAGTAAACAGTAAATATTAACGATTAGTTACGGAATCTAAACAAGAAAGAAAAGAAATACTTGTTAAAAGTTACGATGTAATATCAAAATGAGTAAAGTTGAACAAACGTACATAGTTGAATCGGATCATTCAATTCAACTAGATAATTCAGTAAGTTAATTCATTACATTTTTTGATTGTACTGGTCAATGGATTTAAAATGAAGTTTATCAAGAATTGTTATAGCTTTTATCAGTAATAGTTGTACACTTCTTTAACTGTGTCATTATTAAAGAATTTCTTTTTTTTCTTAATAATGTATTATATTTCAAACAATACTAATTAGTGATTGTAAAATGTCACTGATCATAGTGTCTTCCTACTCAAAATATTCGAAGTTCAGTAGAAATTTTTATAATCAACGTTTTCTTTTGAGTGAATTTGTTTGATCTCGTTTAAGTTTTGATGACTTTATTATATTCCGGCGATACACATATTAAGTAACTAAACTATGCATATTCATGTTCCTATTATTATAAGCTTTATTTTAACACATTTTGACTATTATTATACGATTTACCGTTCTTAAGTTCTTTAAGTTCTACCCAACCTATTAATTACAGTCTCCTACATCCACAGCCACTTTTGGCTAGATCTTGTATAAATGTTGATTTCTATTTTATGGTGAAATGTGGTTTGTTTGGTTCGTAAACAAACCCATTATGTTTGAAATACATGATTCATATCGCAGAGGCTGAGATTGGTATTCTGGACTTAATAGGCATGAATAAGCAGGAATCAGGACCGATAAAGTCTTTAGATTACTCGTAATGGTTTTATGTGTCAGTGCTTTGGTCGATAATTCGCTGTTCTCTAATTGGCGATATCATTATGTTATATATAAATAGGGCACTTGGTCACAAGTCATAACAGACGTGCATATAATAGACAGTATCTTTTAATAGAAATTATATATTTGCAATATCCCATTGAGTATATATATATATATATATATATATATATATATATATATATATACTTACGCCTGTTACTCTCAACGGAGCATAGGCCTCCGACCAGCATTCTCCAACCCACTCTGTCCTGGGCCTTCCTTTCTAATTCAATCTAGTCTTTGTTCATTTTTCTCATGTCTGTCCCCATTTCTCGGCGTAATGTGTTCTTTGGTCTTCCTCTTTCCCTTTAACACTGAGGATTCCATGTGAGGGCTTGACTTATGATGAAGTTGGGCGCTTTCATCAATATGTGCCTAATCCACTTCCAGCGCTACTTCCAGATTTCCTCCTCTATCAGAATCCGATTTGTTCTCTCCCACAGTAGGTTATTACTGATAGTGTCTGGCCAACGGATTTTGTGTAGACAGCCACCGATGTATATATATATATATATATATATATATATATATATAGAGAGAGAGAGAGAGAGAGAGAGAAAGAGAGAGACATGGATAGATAAATAGATTGATAGATAGATAGATAAATTCAATACTTTAAGTTTGTTAAATAAATGAAAGTTTTTATTTGAAAATATCTAACAAAAAGACAATCACATCAACCAGTACTGACCTTTAATTTCATTTTCTACAAATATACATTCGTCACCACTATTAGAAAGAATTAAGATGGACAAGAACAAAACTGTTTTTTTTTCTTTTTTATTTGATAATCAATCAACCTTATTTGATTTATAATTTATTCATTAAATAGATAAATAAATAATGTTCCCTATGAATCAAACATAATTTCAGTCAAATAAATAATTAAATTAACTATGTGTAATTGAATTAGATTTTTTCTTTGTTTTTGGAAGTTCATTGAAGTAGTTCTGTTGGGTTTTTTTTCTTTATTTTTGTTGTTGTTGTTGTTGTTGTGGATCAACTGGAAATTTGTCTTTTTTCTTTCTTTCTTTCTTTTCTTTTGGTAGATATAGTTTGATATGAAAATCAGATTTTAAATAATTTCAATGTATTTTTTCTTTCTATATATTATAAATTTGTAATAACCATATGAATTGTTAGTTATTGTAGGAAACGTATATATAATACTGTTACATTTTCTTAACAAACATAAAGGGGTTTTGTAAATATTATAGTAATTTAATAATTGAGTTCATGAATCAATCGAAGCTAGACCACTTGAAAAACCTGGAAGCACTCGACGGCCGCTTCGTCCTAGTATGAGACTCCTCAGCAGTGCGCATCCACAATCCCACCTCCCGAGATTCAAACCCAGGACCCATCGATCTGTCGCAAGAGCGCTTGAACTCTATACCACTGGAACGACATCCAACGATGTACTTTCAGATTTTCCATGGTAGTCTAGCTTCAATTGACTCATGAACTCAACTATTAAATTGTTTTTTGTTTATCACTAACAATGATTGTGAATAATTTTAAATTTTGACTACATTTTTGTAAAAAGACAAATATATAACTGAACTAATTTAGTTTAACTCCTAATTAATACAACACAAACTAATGTATGAAGTTAGATCATCACAATCTAGCACAGTAAATATGTTATTCTTTGTTAAATCACTTATTTATTCGCGAAAAACATATATTTGTTTAAAAACACTTAGTACTGGTTACTTGAATCTTCTCATAGATGCTTAAGACTGTAATTGAACTGAGATGCAGGTAAATCCAGCAGACGATTCCCAAATAGGACGAAACGTGCATCCTGGACTTCTTTTCTAGCCATTACTGATCTTTGTTCGTAACGCTTGTGAGTTAAGACAATATCGAGGCAATACGCACAGTATGTACATATACCGAATCAATATTAATATTTAAGTAAACAGTACTAAGTGAATTCAAATTTTACTTCATTGTACAAGTAAGTGGCTATCAGGACTCATTAGCTAAGTGGATAATGTGATGGTGTTTGAAGCGAACGGTACTGGGTTTGAGTTCCAGAGTGAGCACTAACTCTGAGATGCAGGCACATTCAGCTGACAAATCCTAAATATGACGAAACGCGTGTCCTGGATTTCACTGCTAGCCACTATCCATCCTTGTTTGTCATAAATTTGTTTGTTTACCGGCAGTTTTTTCCAAACATTGTTAGTGCTATTTTTTACATACAAAATAGTTGACGTTATGAAAAGCGTTAATCCGTCGTAATATTTTCACCGGTTATAGTATATTTGGTTCAATATCTACATATCACCAGCTGTGGAATCTGTAATCAAACCCACTATAAATTGTCATAATACTATCTATCAACTTTTACAAATGGTATAAATATAACAATTATTTATTTTAATTAGATAAGAAAGTACTGAATCTTTGATTTTTCATTTAACTAGACATTTCTAACTTCAATTCCATTAAATCTTATTTATTTATATGTATCCTAAACCACAAGAAATAGTGACAATGTTACAATCTACATGTTAATCTTCATAACATTCCTGGGAAATTATCAATTACTCAAATGTCAGTATTCAAGGCCTATGATTTTAGACTCATTTCGTCGATACACTTGTCGTTTCTAGTACTGTAATATGTAATACATTTCAAAATAATAGTTCCTATTATAACAATTACTTTAACTATCGGAACAATCTTATCTGTTATTACTGATAATAATCTTTTAATTTTCGTCAGCTTCATTAATATTTATTAAAAATGACCGTTGAAATACTGACATTTCATTTATATTCCATAACAGATGCACCAGCTAATGTCACAATTTCAGTAGAAACTGGTAGCATTGATGATGATCATACTGGTGGACGCCATGAAAAAGTAGCATATGCACGTGCCGGTGAAATGAAGACATTTATTTGCAAAACTGCTCCATATTATGGTCAGGCAACTATTAAGTGGTTGTTTCAAGCAGCTGGTGCTAGTATTACAACACCTCCCAAACAACTGGTTGATAAAGCTGTCACATTCAAAACACCTGATGGAGAGAGTGTCTATCAAGAGTCACGGATTCAGATCACTGTTCGACCAGAAGATGACAGAAGTTATATAGATTGTCTTGTTTGGAGTGTTGGAGATGCACGCATTGATTCAAGAGTACGCCTAGATATTATCCGTGAGTTCCTCTTCGTCAGATTTATGTTCGCTTTAATTATTAGATTTACTATTGCTGTTATATTAACTGCCAGACAGCGGTAAAATCAATAAACATATCAAAATGATAGTAATGATGTTCATTCTGAAACAGTGATTTCCCGTCTAACACTTTTAAGACCAAAAATTTGAAGATATGTACTGGATTCCATTACCATATACAACCATGTGTAATTTAAAATAATCGTTACAGAAATTCTATATTATCAATTAATGAAGAATAAATGAGACCAGTAAGATTAACCACTACAAAATTCAAATATTACTATTATGAAATACGTTTATCAGGTAGTCAGTGAATAGTTATTCTTTTATGATATGAAGTTTTATATTGTTAGAACAAAATATATAACCGAACAATATTGCTTTCAATCAGATCCTCATCAAGCTTTATATTAATATACAATATTTGTATGCATATATGAAAATATCAAACCAATCGAGGCAATTCATTAGTCAATACTAATAACAAAATACATTCCCTAACTCAGTATAATAAACTCAAGTATCAGTTTGTACCCTTTATCATCATTTTTAATTAGGTAATCAATTTCGTTGTTATTATTGTCTAAATGAATTGCCTCGATTAATTTGATATTATATATATATATATATATATATATATATATATATATATATATATATATATATATATATAGATAGATATATAGATAGATAGATAGATAGATAGATAGATAGATGTCGCATATTAGTATAAAACCTAATGAGGATCTGATTGAAGACGATATTATTCGCTTATAGATGTTCTAGTTATTCTCATATTAACAACTTGTTCAAACCAATACATTTTAATTAAACTTCTTATATCTAGACTGTATATGAGTGTTTTCTAACAAAATCTAAATTAAAAACGGCATTAAAATAGACGTTAATAAAGTTTTACTGTTTATGTTTCCCATCATTTACACATAGCAGTACATCAATACAGGTGTATTTGAAACTTCTTTTCTCTTTCAAATTCCATCTCTAATTAATCATATTAGAATAAATTCAGTCTATTCAGTTGATTTTATCATTCGACTTAAAATAATTTATTTAACTACTAAACTGATATCTATGAAAGCTCTTTCACCCTAGAAAAGATTGATAATAACAGGCCGATAAAAAGAAATACAAAATAATAAAAAAAATTGTTCACAAGTTTTATTCATCATTTTAGCTTTTTACTAAAGTTGATATTTGTCATAATGACAAGTGGGTGAGAATTATATTGGTAATGGTTGTTGTCATTATGTTTGTCGATACTAAAAAAAAACACAAACGATAAATGTTGAGAAGTTTGTTAAATATTCATTAGTGAATACACATATTTGTGATTTGATAGCTAGTTCAGATTAAATCATAAGTTTGTTTGAGATATGAGTTAAGCAATGTTTAAGTATTAATTTATATTTAAACAATAATGAACGGTTACCAACTAATTCATGTAACTTTACAAGCACAGTAATATTGCATAGATAATTTATTAAAAAATTGAATTTTCGATGAGACTATAATTTATGGACGACCATTGAGAGATGTTAAAGTCACCTTGAAAGTATCCATTTAATAACCACGACCAAATGAGGGTTATAAACTAATGTGAGGAATTAAAATGATGATTTACAGTTAGTGGTTAAGGTTAGGAATTAAATTCAGGTTTTTCATCATGAACTGACATCAGCTATAATGCCTAAACTCTATTTAGCCAAATGGATAAGTGAATTTCGTGCCAAAATCCGAGACCTATTATCTTATATCTTATTGGTTCGTCTATAAATTATAGTCTCGCCGAATTTTCTTCAAGGTAATAAAGTGTAAATTCAGTGTAACATTTTAGATATGAAAAACTGTAGACTATAATAAAGCTGAAAGAATCCATCCTCAAATAATCAGAACACATGTCTACATCCTATCATATCTGTTCCAATATTGTCAATAAAACTTTATGGAATTGAAGCACCGTTCTTTTTGTGGTTGGATCAAATTGTAATTAATTATTTGTCTATATCATAAACTAAAAACATTTTCAAGTACGAATACTTTGTAAATAAATAAAAAAATTCTAAAGACGTACTCTTCAATAACTTACTATGCATCACTTGCAAATATGATTTGGCAATGTGAATCCTGTTAGGTAATAAAAGAAGATTTATGACAAACTATAGTAGGCTGACAAGTACTATTCATTATCCTATTTTATGTTCATTCCACATAAAATTTTGAAAAATAGACTAGACTATACTAGACTTTCTTCTATACTTGTGAATTCATATAATGATTTTCAGTAGAAATTTTGATTCACATATTCTGTTTTCTATATACAAGAACCATACTCAAATTTACTTTACTTTTACAAAATAAATATGATTAATATGATAAATGTATTTATTAGATGATCTATTGATAAATGTCTTCTGGATTGTAAACGTTCACCGGTTTTTCAGTCAAGCATATTCTAAGTTTCAAAGGATTCTACTTGAATATTTGTTTTTCAGTTTATCGTATGTAATGTGATAACTTGTATATAAATTCTTATTTCTGCTAGGAATAAACTGACAACAAAGTATGAATACATGTATTTTATCAAATAATGAACTACATTGGAATATCAAACCGATCTAAGTTAGACCACCACTGAAAAATTGGAAGGACTGGATGACTGTTCCATCCCAATATACGACTCCTTTGAAATGTGCATACATAACAGCACAACTGGAGGCTGAAATTACGACGTGGATTCTCGCACAGATGCTTAACCTCTAGACCACTGAGCGGGGATCTAATGCTATACACGCCGAAATCCATTTCACCTACGACATTGTACGATTATCTTTCATTGTCTCCAGCGGATAGTTTCTCACACCCAACACGGTTCGGTTCTACTTAGAAAATTTGGGTTATGATTGAGTACTGCTGAAGAGTCCTTTAGTAGGACGGAACAGCTGTTCGGTATTTCCGTATTTTCATTAGTCGTCTAACTTAGATTACTTTGTGATTGAAGTGAAATAAAACGATCTCCACAACCCCATACTAACAAATAATGGACTAGTGATGGGAACATTTCTAAGATTTTAAATCCAAATTGAAAACCAGAAATTCAAAGTAACTGACTGAAATAACTACGAATTGTATAAAATTAAACAACTTCTCACTGATAGCCATAAAAAGTAGTAAAGCCTGTAAACAGGACCATAAAATATAGAAGGTTAGAAATTCCAAAAGGAAAAGAAATATATCCGATTATTTTACAATTGAGAATCTAACTAATCATTAATAAAGTTAACAGTCTTAAAATCATGAGTGCGATGTTTATATTAGGGAAATGTGATATATCTTCAATCTGAAGAACTATGACGATCTCGATAAAAACAAGTTCATAATTATTAGCCACGTCATAAACCAACATGGATGAATATTTACAAGTTCTATTTAATTGTATGCTAAAATTAAATTACAATGTTTGATATTTCTATTAACAGACTCAAAAACTATTTGAAACACTTCAATCAAAAATTTATTGATTTAGACGAGAAACAAACGGTGTAGGATAAAGTAAAGTGAACGTGTGATTTCAGACAAAGTCTTTTGGAGTAAAAGTCAAGAACTTTATAAATAAGCCTAATCTAAACTTTTTACTTCTCACTAAACTTTCTTCGAATAAACATTTTTGAATACATTGTCCAAGACGAACTATATTTCTACTAATATTATTTATTTACAGATCCCCCAGATACGCCTAAGATTACTGGTTATAAAAGTGGTCAACCAGTGAACATGGCTCATCTTTTGGAATTTACGTGTACTACTACAGGTGGTAATCCATTGCCTGAACTCCAGTGGTTTAAAGGTAAATGTAGTTCAAGTAACAGCTTACCATAATTATTGCTTATTTGAATAGTCATTAGTATTCTTACTAAAAATATCATATTATTTACATAGATATTTTGTTTTCCTACAATTAGTATCATATGTCAACAGACTTGAAAGTAGCTTGTTGTTTATTCCTGCTGAATGTCAAAACAGGTTTAATCAACAAAATAAATGTTGCTAGTCAAGTAACTTACTTATACAGATATAAATTAGCATACCACAAGTATCTAATACACAGGTTGTTAGGCAACAGATTTTAAGAGGTATTCTATAGTTTCGCTTCTCAACTAAATTTGTCCAGTGTTTTTTACTGATTTATATTATGGTTCTAAACGTTTGTGAAATGATTCATCGTTGTATTGCATCAAACGTATAAAAGTTCTACATTAAATGTAATCCTTATCATTTCTTTTTTGTCCAACCTTTTTCAACTTACCTAAAACACAGTACTTCATCCTATTGATTTAATTTTGTCCATTGAAAACAAATTAGAATTCGGTTTAGACAGAGTAATCTTCTACCATAAACGATTACAGAATGTTACATTTTGTCGTGAGGATGCTAAATCATCACCATGATTGAATAAAAGAGATTTCTATTAAAATTTAGTGAATAAATATGATATATGAAAGTGATATTACTGGTGTTATTTAATTCTCTGAGTTAGATGACATAACTACTAAAAGAGGGCATCATATTTATATTTCATGTTACCGGATAAAACAAATTTTATATTGTAAGTTTAATAAAGGTCATTCATTGTATTATATATGACTAAGATTCAATGTAACATTCATCTATTTATCAAATTTACTTAATTATGTCTGTTTAAATTATTAGATATAAATAATTTGACTGCATATTCCAGTAGTTTGCTATAAATACGGAAATTGACATTGCAACTAAATCCATTTTAGATATCGTTTCCTCATCCGAATCGTGATATTGTTTAGTATGTTACTATTAAATTATAACATTTTGGCTTAAACTTGTGTTTATCAGGCGTTTTCGATTATACTTTAATTTAGCCATAGAAGTGGCAAATAGACGTAATAATATTTCGACACATTCAACAACTACATTATAATATCTAGAATATGTAAATGACTTACCGATGAATAATCCATATTATCAAATAGATTTCTATCTATATTAAAACAAATTGTTTCATTCGATACTTTAATTCAAATTAGTTATATGAATTTTTCATGGCTTTTACCAACCACTAAAAAGAAACAATTTGGCTTTCTACTAATCTGAGTACGTATTAACTCAGGACATGCATTTCATATTAAAACTAGAAGAGTGATTCTAGTTTATGCTCGTTTTACTAAACTATACAAATATACTTTATAAATTAAACACCCAACAGTGAACGTTTAATAAATGAGACGTATATCCATTATTAGAAAATAATGATAAGTCAATGGCATACATTTGCATTAAATCAATTGGAAGAACATCTAAGAACGCTAAGATCAAGTTGATAACCCGTTTTTGATCTGTTGATATATGTATATTGGTGAAATAATCGATACTTTTCTACATTATACAGATAAAAAACCGATCACAAACAATGTTGAACCAATTGTTATTGGAAAACAAACTACTATTAAACTAAAGCTTGTACCACAAAAAGAAGATAACGGTGCTGAATATCAGTAAGTTTTATTACATTAAATTTATACCTACTTTTATCAATCGAGTTCTAAATCACCAAATTAATTTTTCACAAATCTACTTTATTTAAAATTCATAATTAGCTGATATGATAAATTAACTTCATTATTAGTTGAAAACATCTTATAACTACTGTGGTGTGTGCTACTTATGTATACATAAGTAGTATATGATGTTAGTCGTTAACAGAATGTCCGGCAACAGGGAGACAAGAAGATCGAGCAGTAAAGAATGAAGACAGAATGCAATTTGTATGAAAGTGCAAGAGCAATGAAGTCTGAGTCATTTTTGGACAAATGATGGACGTTTTGCAAATTAAGCATTTGCTCTATGGTTGTTAGATTTTATTAATAAGTTTTGTAATTTGTCGTCAGATACATTCGATTGTCCCTCACTCGTGTTCTGTTCACTACACCACTAGTATTACTATTACATGGAAACTATTTTAATCAATATCAGAATTTCATAGCCCGATTATTATTACTCCCCTTATTATAAATAACATATACCGTCAATATATACTTACCTTATACATACAATAGTTCACTATTGTTATTCAACTTCTAGACATTAACAACTCAAATTATGACCATTCTATTCATTTATTTTATAGATTTGAGCTGAAGCTTCCTAAAATATTTAGTTTTTGTTTTTTAGAAAATGTAATTTTATTTATAATGATGAATAACAACAAATACAAATAATCATTTCATTATAATACTATCGGTAATATACACACACTAGAAGTTGTCGATAACTACTAACTAATTATACATTTACAAAGAACATATTTTGCATCCTAAATCACAGAATCCCAATATATAATGAATTGTTCATTGCATCAAAAGAAAATAAAGATAACAATATACACAATTCACTATTGTATTTCTCTATTTATACATTCCGACTACATACCTTATTTATTATCTCCTTTTTTAACTAATTTTATTCAAAATCAATCTTTATTGCCTAAACCTATCCATTATTAATCTTATAAAGCCTTAATATAATTATTAGCCTCTTATTTTCTTTTTTGTTACTTCGTCGCAAATGTCTATGAAAAAAAAGCCCTAAAAAAATAAAAGAATTAAAGCTGATTTTTTTCATGTTTAATACTAGTTCTATGCTAGTTTTTTTTCTTTATTAATTATTATGATTATGATTGTACGCTATTGTTGTTTTGCTTTATGATTTCCGTTTTCTTTCAGTTAATTTTAGTTATGTTACGCTTTTATCATAAAGCACATAGTAACTAAAGCCGATACATGATTCTGTTAAGTTTGTATTCTTGTTTGTTTGTTTGTTTTGTTTTTGTATTTTTTTCCATTACGTTTATTTATTTATTTATTTATCGGTTTGTCTATAACTTTTGATTGTATTGAATAATAAGACCAAATTTTTTTCTGTAAGGAAAATAAACTCATTTACAATTATAACAAGAATTACATTAAAAGTTCTAGTTCAAAAAACAAAACAAAAACTAAAATGCCAATCCTATTCAATCTAACTATATATTATTATTGTTTTCAATTGGTTAACGCTACTACTTACAAGTACTTTTGTATTATACTCATAATTAAGTTAAGTATATTTTCTTATGATGTTTTAAATGTGTTAAAATATCTCACTTTTTTTGTTTATTAAGAAAAATTCATTTTAATATAAATAGTAACAAACAGAATTATTATCATTAAAGTCTCTATGGTAAATAAGATTAAGAATTGAATAAAACTCTTAATAAAACTATCAAGTTTTATTTATATTCTTTAAATATACCTACATAACTGCATGCCTAAAATGTACTAACTTAATGAACATTACTATCTATACTTAAAATAATGAATAAATATATAGTTAACTAAGTAGATGTTTTACATAAAAGTGTTTATAACAACTTTATACATTATTATGGTATAATTAGTTAATAATACACACAATATCAGAACTATTTATATATTTCCTGTTCTTTATTGTTATTAAATATAATCTGAATAAATGTAAATTGACATCAATAAACTAATGATAGTTTATAATCATTAAATATATATATCAACAACTTTTAGGGATAAATGAACATTTATATAAAACAGTTGATTCTATCATTGAAATGATATTAACTTCGGATTATAAAAAAAAACATTCTGTCAAGTTTATTATTAAACACTCTATGACATTGATATATTCATGATAAATTATTCTTATTCCATTTAATGGGGAATAAAAAGTTGGTATATAGTGTTTTAGTTTTGTAAAACATGTCATTGATAAGCTCATAAGACATTTAAATTTCTTAGTGACTACTTATGTAGTGATGAAAATTATTATACTTTAATTTACGTATTGATTAAAGACAATGAAGATGAATGCGAAATTATATCACTTTCACATTGTATTTCATTGTGTAATTAATTGCGGCACAACATGAAAACTAAATGAATAAAATCGATCATCTTTGACAATAATACAACAATAAAATGTATGAAAACTATCGTAATATTTTAGTCACCATGGACCAGAATCTCCTGATATATATATATATATATATATATATATATATATATATATATATATATATATATATATATGGAATAGTTCTGTTTCGGACAGGAGTATGAACGTCATTTAACATATTACAAAGTTCATAACCTTAAATTTAATAATTCTCATTTTGCACATTCCTTGAAACCGAATAAAAGAACATTTCTAGCAAAATAATACATAATAATCAATTTTCATTCTATTGTATATTAACCGAATAAAATGATCCATTGTAGAATTTAAATTTGATACTAAATCCTTTTATGATAGTTCTCTCGAAAATTGAACACTTTAATGCAAATTCCATTTGACTGAATATGCAGTAAATTATATCTATTGAATAAAATGATGATCATAAAACAATAGGATTAGTCATAACGACTAACAAACAAAAGGAAAAAATGAGTCATTCAGTTGATTATAAACTTATAAATAGTACATATTTATCGGTATAAAGTATGATCATACAATAAATTTCAGGGAATACAAGTATGGAAAATATATAGTTGATGTAACATTGTAATTTATTTGCCTACTGTATGCCAATACGCACAAATATGAAAAACATATCATACTTATTTTTATTTATTTATTTTTATATACCTATTTATAGTTGTTCAGCTCGTAACACTGCAACAAACAATGAATGGATAGATAGTGAAGCTATAATTTTAAATGTTTTATTTCCACCACAACGAGTAAGTTTAAATTTTGGCGGTAAATCAGTAGTTCAAAGTGGTGAACAACTTGAAATCAACTGTCAAGCAGATAGTTCAAATCCAGTTGCTGTTATCACATGGCGTCATTATCAATGTGGACCAGCTCATGCGTTTTATCGACGTCATTTATTACAACAACAACAAAAATTACCAAAATCTAGTAGTAGTACAAATGAAGGGGAAAAGTGTAAATTATTAGAACTAAAAGGTAACATTAATTACTGTCAATGACTGTATGATCATTTCTATCTCTTCAAGCAGTTTTTTTAAGGTTTTAATGGAATCACATAAAATGTTTATTGAAAGCAGATAAATTCATTTTTGGTAAAATAAATTAACACAATTTCTAAATTTTGAATGGTATATTTTGTCATGAGTTTTTAATCCCATCATTACAGATACTTAATCATACAACTCAAATAAGTATGGTTGTGATGTTGCCATTAAAGATATAATTTTACAGAGTGCATTCAATTGTAGCTAACGTAATTTAACTAAAACAAATGATTATGTATTTGAGAATAGTGTTTTTGATTTGATAATTCTTAAGAATTAATCTAGTTCTTCATTAAGGATTATTATTGAGCATTACCGAAGGCATTAAACAGTACAACAATGTAGTACTGTTCAATATTTATTGAAACTTGTTATGACACATGCTATTGGTAAATATATGTTAGTGACAGGATTTTATTAACATCAGGCATAAAAATTCTTAGTTATTCTAGACGTTATTACTGGTCATTTTCTTTTTATTATGAAGCTTGCTATATTTTTAAAAGATCCTGTTTTTCTTTAATATATGGAGACTTAGATCCCATTCTACTAATTATGTATTACAAGACAATAACACTTCAACCGTATTTGCTTGATTTCATACAAGTGAACAAAAAGAGTGGATGCTTCATCTACAAGATTACTTTACAACTTTCTAAAGAAAATAAATGTGTTGCAATAACAAACAAGACAGTTTCAACTTAGTGAAGACTAGACGGAAGTCAGAGTGCTCTATTTTAATACATTAAGTCTAACCCAGATAATAGTGTCTAATTCGTTTACATGGCTTAATCTGTCCATCGTAATATAATAATTATGGACTCTTAACTATAGTCTGATAAAGAAGCTATCGAAGACAATTATTTATTTCCATATTATTTGTTTCTAAATACGTTATGGGAACTTTTAAATTATATTTTGCGTACGTAGTTTGTATATTATTTTGGAACACTTAATAATAATGAGATTATAATGGTCAACTCCATTAATTTGCAATTTTGGCTTATTGTGTATGTTTAGTACAGAAAAAATAATAAATTAGATTATAAGACAAAAAAAGATAGGCCCTTACTAGTGATCACAATAAAGATTTGACCTTCTAGTTACACAAGTGTAATTAACGGAAAATACATAAAACTGTCTAAGTCCTAAAATACAATTTTGGAGGTTACATGTTTATTCATTTTTACTTGGAACTAGTATTTTTAGGGAATTTCTAGTTACTACAACTTCATTAGTTGCTTAAATTCGTTGACATTCTGCAAAGGTCATCTGAAAATATAAAATAGCTCATCAGTAAACGCGATTTATACATACTGGACTATTGTCTTTATAGACATTATCTGACAGCTTTTGTTGTGTAGTCCACCGTTTATTAATATGATATGATTTTCAAGATGTTTTATCTGGTAGAAGTCACATATTCTTGTGATTGTTTATAGACGATTTGAATATTCTGTATTGTAAATAATATCAACAGAACTAAAAATAAAGTTTGATTCTCAGATCATAAAATTCCAATGATTATTTTTGGAACCAGGTTCCGACGAAACACCTATTCCTGGAGCATCCGGTGGTTTATTAGCCAGAAGTCATTTATGGTTACGTCCAACTTGGAGATATCATATGGACTTTATTGAATGTCAAGCGGAGAATCCAGTTTATGGTCCACCTATTTGGCATGATAGACTCCAGTTAAATATTACATTTGCACCACAATTCTATGGACTTCAAGTAGGTGATCACCGAGTAATACGAGAAGGTAAGTGATAATTTTATAAGAAAAAGTTATATCTAACTAACTCCAATGTTTAATTCTGATTTGATTCAATTGTATATCATTGAGTTGACAAAACTTATCCACTTGTTTTTATTACGGAATATGTATCTTCACATGTTACTTACTTTTACATATATTATTTGGTGAGACTATAATTTATGGACGACCATTGAGCGGCGCTAAAATGACCTCAAAACTGTTCATTTAATAAGCCGGACCAAATGGGAGTTATAAAGTAATGTGAGGAATTAAAATGATGATTTACAGTTAGTGGTTAAGGTTAGGAATTAAATTCAGGTTTTTCATCATGAACTGACATCAGCTATAATGCCTAAACTCTATTTAGCCAAATGGATAAGTGAATTTCGTGCCAAAATCCGAGACCTATTATCTTATATCTTATTGGTTCGTCCATAAATTATAATCTCATCGATTATTTCAATGTGAAGCGTTTATTATACCTATAAAAATATCTGCAAAATGTACACATACAGTATCGAGAACTAAAATGAATTTCTTACATCTGCTCTAAAATTATCTTTTCTTAATATGAGAATGCTAAATAACAAAATAATCTATGAATAAGTCATATATTGCAGCATTACTAAGTGATATCAATTATTTACTTATATGAATTTCAAGACAACCGTAATGTTTTTGTGTTTATAGCTGTACATAATTATTATATTTCAAAAACAAAGGACATTTAAACCGACAGTCGTTTTCAATAAATGTCATCAAACTCTATAATTTGTGAATATTACTTTTACCAGAACAAACATTATATTCCCTATTAATAATGATTATAGGATTATTTCTCAATAACTTCCAAAGACAAATAATGAACTTCTAGTGACAAAATGTTCAACATTGTTGCCAGTCAAAGAGGTATCACAAATGACAATGAACTATGGTCTCTTAACTTCGAAGAACATTTAATATCAAAAAGGTTGACGACCGTATTTTAACTCATTAGTCTGAATAGTAAGTGTTCAACATGAGGTCTGAAGTTTCCGAATTTAGTTATTGGAAGATAAAGAATTTGTACTGCTTACAACATCATACCACGACCAAGCATCTACTCAGAGTTTCCTAATTTTTATTAGTTGTCTTGCTGAAGTCAGTCAGTGATCAGAACTATCTAAATATTCCATTACTAAAGCCAATTCATTAGAATATAAATATAAAGCTGATTAGTAATAAAGATTAATAATAAATTTCACTGCGATTACTTCATAAGTAATTACAATTTGAGTTATCACTTTGAGTTTTCTGTAGGAAAAGGTTGAAGAAGATTCACTATAAAGTGGCGTGCTATGATAAACAGAATTAAATAATGTTAACCAAATATGAAATCGCACATTCTATTTGTCAGGATTATTGCGATAGTAGTGATGGTAATATCATAACAATCAGTATACAGTTAAGAATTTATTATGGTTAGGGCTAGGATAAGCAACCATTACACTAAATATTTTATATAAATGATTAAATTACATTTTTCATTCAATCCTAGTGTACGACTTACTGACTTTTTAATTATTATCACAGATAGCTACGTGACAAAAAAACCTGTATTATTTTGTTGCATCACTTAAAACAACTGATGAAGCTGTGACTTCAGCTGATTTCTATACAATGATCCGTAAATGAATGTGTGTATTTTAGTGATAATTTGACTGAACCGGTAAAACATTTTCAAACTGTACAGTTTTTGATCATTCATTAAATGGTATTATGATTCATTAGACAAAATAAAAGAATATAATTCTGTGATGTGGGTTTCTGATATCCACATAAGTAGTATATAACGGTGGTCAGGCATAGAACGTATTTCAGTAGAAGATCGATAAGGAAAGAACGGAAACCGAAAGCAATTAGTATGGAAATACATGAACAATGAAATCTGAGATGATGGACTGATATTTGGAAAAGGAACAGTCAAGTTTGAGACGAATGACTGATATTTTGCAAAATAGGTATTTATTATATGGTTCTCAGATTTTAGTGAGATGCTCTGTAATTTCGTGTCCCCACTCGTGTTCTCGTTCACTACATTTCTACAATTTCTAATGAAGGAACATCAAAATATCGAATCCTGATGCGGAGGGTATGTGAAAATTTTTGAAATTTTTGGTTTACATCACGAAATAAATCTATCTAGATAACCAGCCAAATCCAAGAAGCTTTGGACAGTTGTTTTGTTCTGGCATAGAACTCATCAATGCACATTCACCACTCCATACAAGTTAAAATCCTGATTTTTCAGGTCTTCCTGTAAGAGCTCAATCTAGATATCTCTGAACCATCGTCCAATAATTTGCATGTAAAGCTTTAATCAGTTCACAATATGTCGACAGATCATATCTCTAACTCTACTTGGTTGTCTTGGAGATGAATTCAAAAACTTGTTTCTGACATATGTTTTTGTTGTCAAACTAAACATATTACGGACAAGAATTCATTTTAGGCGTTTTACTGCATAAACATTTAAAATGAGTCAATATAGGATAACGATAGATGTAAATTCATATACAACTGTATTACATAAATATTCCTTTAAAATTATGTAACACTCTATTCAACACAGAAATAGTATTCTTGTCAAGCTTTTCAAGTAAAATAAATTTATCTATAAAAAACATTATTTACAATGACATATTTCTTTTTCTAGAAAATCAAGTTAAGTAATCAGATTTAATATTGAAAGAGATTTAAATTGATTATTCACTTTCTTGTTATCCTTTAAAATAGTTTGTTACTAAAGTCAATTTTAAACATTGACATATTGAATGAAAAATTATAAATATTCTAATTGAAGTAAATTAATTGATTTAAGATTCACTTCAATGATGTAATTCATTCATTTAATGCATCATAAATAATAACAATGATTAATAATGATGATATTCTTAAGTGAAATGAAGAAACTGTTAGAAACTACTAAATGTTTCCAAGTATTGAATGATAAATTGCTTAATAGTTTTAGAAATAATAGTAATAAGTAATTTATAAGACAAATATAAACAGTAATTGCTGTTATGATTGATTGAATAATAAAAATTAGGAATATAGAATGAACTTCTGTTTAGATTGAAGGGGATCTTATGATGATGGTAAATTAGTTAAATAAGAGAGATACATTTCGTAGACATGTATTTACTGTAGTTTGAACCATTTGAAAATTACTAATCTAAACCCTCCTTGGGTTAGCAATGGAATACAGGACACGCGTTTGGCACCATTTGAGACTCATCAACTAGATGTACTTTCATCTCAAATTTGATGTTTACTCTGTTCACTCTGTTATATTATCGTGATCATTACTGTGGTAATTCCTATGCTAATCTTACACCAATCTGAAAAAATTATTTAAAATTAAATAACAACAGTTGATTGTTGCTTCCTCTATTGATGTCCATTGTAACATTCAGAAAAGCATCTCTGGAAATAGTTTAAAAATTCATATAATATTTATAAAGAATGTAACTAAATCTATTTTTTATAAAAACTGTTACATGCTTCAGCAAAACTTTCATTAACATATTTTTTCTGGTCATACACATTTCAAGTCATTTCAAATCATTTACAAAATATTGATCAATAGTTTCTAGGTTTAAATAAAGATTTTTCTTAAATCACTCCATCACCTATTAAATGAAATTTCACTCGTCTTATTTAATATGTGTACTTCTAGTTTATTATTTCCTGTTTCTAACCTTTAGTTAATGAATTCAAGCTGATTTCTTTGTTTTATTTTATTTAGAACTTCCTTAATTTGTTAACTTATCTTCATAGAATAAATCCATGTTAGTATAGAATTTACATAAAACATTAAACATTATGTGCATGTATATCATCATCAACCAAAAAAAAGAAGTAATTCCACTAAAGAAAAAAATTTCCATGAAAAACTTAGTTGGAAACTTATTTTCCTGCGAAAAAAAATAATTTAGGTTTTAAAATGCCTCAAAAACTTGTATAATTGATTGCAAAAGACAAAATCAATCATTTTATAAGTAATGCATTAAACATTTGTTTATTTGCAAAATCCTCAAGTATTTAATCAATTATTTTTGATTGAATAGTTGAATTTATGAGTCATTTAGAGCTAGATCACCTGGGAAACCTCGCACGAGAGTGCTTGACCAGTACACCGATAGGTTCCGGGTTCGAATCGTGGATGCGCACTGCTGAGTAGACAAAACGGCCGTCCAGTGCTTCCAGTTTTTCTATGGTGGTCTACCTTCAATTGACTTATGATCTCAACTATTAAGATTATTTAATAACCAATAATAGGATTACGAATAATTCATATGTTCGTTTAGATAAATAATCAATCATTATGACACAATGTAGAATATATATTAATATACTAAGTCCTGATTTATTGATTTTGGCTTATTCAAACTGAAGTTGTCCTTAAAATAATAAGTAACACATGAACATGAATGTTTCTTTTTTTATTTTATAAAATCTAACTCAATCAATTAGAAAATGAAATTTCCTTCTCCATTGTATTATTTGTTTTTTGTTGTTTTTTTAAAATGTAAATAAATACTTTTCACAGTTTAAATGAGGTAACAAAATCATTTATGTAACTATAACTACAAGTCGATTTGTTGTCGTTTTTTCGCTTGTAACTCATTGGCCTTCACATTGATAATCATAATAATAATGTAAAATTGTCTTCTTAAGGATTTTATTTATCATTTCTTAATTTTACATGTAACTAGGAAGATGGTTCTTCAAATGTATAAACAATAAATTCACCTAGATAAGAATAAAGTTTAATAAAATAATATTATTTTTAGAAACAAAAAACGATTATTTGCTTACCATATTGGATATTAGATTATTCATACCAACTTATTATGTATATTTGTTCACTTCTAGATTATGTATTAGTATAAATCAATATTGATGAAAGAGATTTTAATGTTGAATAGTGGAAAAAAAGTGATACTTTGACTTTGTAATTGCTTTCTTTCATCTATAACTGTTGTTTAAATTTGTGGGGCTCTTTATTTTGTCGTCATTGCGATAGGATAATGTTTGTTGATGGGCTCTCCACTTTAGTAGCCCGAAATCTGACTCCAATTTGATCGTATGAATGATCGTTGTGGAAATATATATGTCGCCTATCCTCGTATATAATCATCGACTTAAATGACGTTAGTCAATAATGAAATTAAATAAGTCAAATAGCTAGAATGGACTTTAGGATACATATATTTTGTATATGAAGCGAATAGAATGGAGCGAAGCGAAACGACGCGCAGTGGAGATGGCCGGTAAGCCAAGTTCATTTAACCAAGCATTAATCGATATTTATAGTCACACAAAAATAGGTTATAGACATGTAATGAGTAATGGGATAAGAAGTGTATACACACATGCGCTCATATAAAAACAGTCAAGATTGATAAGCGAATAATTAACAAGGTCAAAGTACGACTCAAATATAATGAATAGATTGACCTGACCGGAAGCTAGAATAAGGTATATAGGCTTAACCGACACTATAAACTCATAAGGAAAGTTATGTTTCTTCAGAATTTGAAGCTTATATCATGCTACATATTGGACGGATAAATTATTAGCCATATAGCCGAAACATTATTGACTCCCTCATATATGGTAATCTCCTACTTAATGATAAATAACACGCCAATAATCTAGTGATCTTCAAATGTAGTGTATGAAAAGTACCATAAGCTACTGAGTATAAACTTGGTGAAACGTGCGAACCATCAATGGTTTAATTTTGAACACTGTTATCAGCGTTGTTTTCCTCAGTCAAGATTAAACTACAGGTAACTTTCGAGGACTAATAATGGACTAATATTCTATAAATATTCTTATTGTATAATTATTCAAGAATTATATTACGTGTATTTATATTCCACTTATTATAAGCTTTAATTTGACCCATAGATTATTACTATACGATTTATTATTCTTGAGTTATGGTCTGTCTATTAATTACTATCTCCCGCGTTCACAGCCACTTTTTGGCTTATTTGTGTACACATGTTATTTTCTAATTTATGGTACGTTGTGGTCTGTCTGATTGATATATAAACCGAATATGTCTGAAATAAATGATTCGATTCATATTAAAGAAGCTGGTATTGTGTTCTGGACTCAAGCGGACGGGTTAGAAGGACATAAGACCCAATAAGGACGTTAGACTGCTCAGACCAGTTGAACGCCATTGGTTTTGTCATAGTGCGAATATTTGTGTAAGTCGTATTCTGATTGGTGAATAAGTCAGGTGATCGTAAGCCGGACATAAAATCATAAATACTATTCTATAAAGTTAGATATTTAAGTGGTTTATGGTGAACTGGTTGGTTTGAACGTGATTTTCACTACAGATTAACATCAGAGAATCATTCATATGTAAATTACTCTAGATAGTCGTTTGATTCTTGTTTATAACTTCATATCAATGTCTATCCAATGATTATGCTTCACTGAAATAAGTTTTACATCTTCATGTCTTAGTTAGAGTAAACTATCCTTAATATACGGAATCGACATCGACATATTGTAACTGATATTCTACGTTATTGAACCTAAGCTATCTGATCCAATGGAAAATGTGAACTTTGCAACCATAAATTTTCAGTATATATGTACATTCAATAAGGTGACATATTTAATCGATTTCTCTAGTTGTTCACAGTTTTTAACATCTCAAAGGTATGAATAAAAATTCACTGATCTCAAACTTCATAAAAATTTTGTTGCTTTATATAACAAATACTTATTACGATGACGAACTTTCTGTTTGACTATTTTATTTTCACAGTTGAATTCACTAGTTAAATTAAGCTGAACCACCAAGTACCCATACTAGGACGAAACGACCGTCTAGTGCTTCCAGATCTTCAATGGTGGTCTAGCTTAAATCGACTCGATGATTCAACTGTAAAAATGAAACATTTTCCACAAATCCCCATATCGTTTGTTTTATGTTTAGCTAGACCACATAAGTTTTTGAGTTCCATTCATTATATAGCGTTAATTGAAGATTCGTTCACTAATCTTATTCTTTTTGGAAAACATTCATTAAAAACATGATACAGTACTTGATTCTTTGGAAAAAACAAGCATATCAATGTATTCTACAGTATTTCCTTGATATATCAATTGATTATAAAACACAATCAACCATTAATATATTCAACTAATAGAAACCTGGTATAAACAAGATATTACCTCGATTTTTGTGATTTTTCATTATTATAAAACAAACAATGATTACAATGTGTTTTTTTAGTTACAAATCAAGAGACTATATAGACAGAAAAGTAAAACTTTTGATGTGGATAAATGGTCTAGGATATAGTTGACTAGCAGTTATCTGACACGGAAATTCAGTATCATATTGAAATCATTCTAATTAAATTTAAGAGTTAAAACATGGTACAAAATATCCGAAGACTATATTTCAACCAGATGATTAGTGATTTCCAGATAATGAAGTTAAATTAAAATAAGAAAATAATTAAATAAAGCTAAAAAGCACTTATTATTAATGACTTATAAAGAAATTTGGATAGAATGGTTAAAACACTATAACATTCACCTTTTTTTCTGTAAATAACATTTCACCTAGACGTAATACTTCTATAACAAACCTTGTTTTAGTATTATGAATAAAATTACAATACTGTCTAAAATCTCAGTATAAAGACGGAAGTGAACTTCCTGTAGTCTAATTCGCAAAACAATGAAAATGACAGATAAACAAACTCTTATTTATCAATAATATAGTTACTAGTGAATGGTCTTAACAGTTAGATTGACGTGACAAGTTTTGACTTCAGTTTACTTCATATACAATTGGATTAAAATTACAAAGATGAAGTATGGTATTAAGTTAACAAAAGATATAACACAGAATGTGTTAAAATAGGTCTAGCTTGAAATTGAAGTACCATAAGAATAGAGATATAGGATTTCGATTGGGAAAGAAGATTAATGGGTAAAAACTATGAATATACAATTGTCTAAGACAAGTTAAAGACTTTTCGCTAATATGAAAACTGAAATAGCACTTCGGGTTTATCTATTTTTGTCAAACTATTTCCTTTCTGTCATTTAGTTTATACATTTCATTTGATTAAATAACATTTAGAGTCTATAGTTTCCAGTTTTATCATGAAATATAGTTCTGATATCTTTTAATTTATTCTTTTAGTGTTAAACTCATTCAGAATTGTAGAAACGGGTACATTAGTTGTATTGTAGAAGAAAATGTAAATAACTAATTTCAATTTTCTCTTCTTAGCTGCCAATATGGATAAGAAACTTCTAATATTACCTAAGATTCACCAATGATTCATATTTAATACAACATCTAAACAGGATGTTTGTCAAATAACTTGATTTATCTAAACCACCTGTTTGTGTAGCAATGAACTTACTGAGAAATACATTTCCTAGATCTCCAGTAGAATTCTGTAACTTATATAGTTAATTTCCTAAATTAAAAATATGTGAATACCTGATAATAGTCAAGTTAACAACTTCAAGTTGCATAATCTAGATACTTATATCATAATGAAATAACTCAATACTGAATTACTTATCACAAAATTTATTGGACCTTATAAAATGTCACAGATCAATATTACCAATCCATGAAAAATTAAACAACAAAAAGAAGAGAGGGGTCTCACAATAGGACGAAACAGTCATGCAGTGCTTCCAGGTTTTCCATGGTGGTCTAACTTCAATTGACTCATGATCTCAAACATTGAAATTAATAATAATAGTTTAACTTTTATATGATACGAATTGGAACTGCGAAATTGTTCTCAAAGAGAATAATATCACAATATTACTGACAACATTTAGATATTGATAAATTACATGTTTGGGTTAAACTAATGATCTAAATCTCATAATATAAGTAATCACTTATTATTGATAAACTATTTGAAAATTGTGTTTTTCTTTAGGTGAAACAACTCATCTAGACTTTGGATTATATGCAAATCCTCCGGTTACATCTGTTTCATGGTTTCGTAATGATCAGTTACTTCCATTTGAACCTAAAGAAACGGATACATGGCAAGGTGTTTTCGCGGCTGGTTCTGTTGGAGAACTACTTTCATTACATAAAATTAATCGTGAAAATATGGGCAATTATACAGTGGTAGTTTCTAATTCACAACATGAATCACGAAATACATTTTTTCTTAATGTTACATGTGAGTTTTTAGTTACATTAACAAAAGAGGATTTTCCTTATTGCTATAAACGACCATATGCATAGAACGTCATTTCATTTTTTAACTAAAGTTAAAGATTGGATATATTTGTCTATTACTACTGTGGAGTATTACCACTATTGAATAAACGGTTGTGATTGTAAAACTCACATGAATATACAAAGTTCAGTTTCTGCCTAAAATCTTTTAATATTAGTCTGCACAACGAGTTCCAAAATCCGTTATTATAGAAATAACATAGCAATGAATTTTTATTTAGATGACCACTTCATAACAATGGCCAAAGTTTTAGAAGAATATCCACCTAATTTTTATGAAGTAACTCATTATTTGAACTGTATTTAATGAAAAACATTCAAACTATTGATTCTTTAGCGGGTATATGTGTGTGTTTAAAATGGTTATTTTACCCTAAAAGAAACAGTCACTTTATTGTATAAATAAAAAACTTCGGAAAACAAAGTAAATCAAGCTAGAGGAAGTGGAAATTGAAAACGGATTCTGTTTTAAAAATATAAAAATCATGTGTCTTTCGTCTTATTCTTACTTTTGATATAAATAGTTCATGAGTTTCGATATGTTATATGTAAAATGACTACCATGTATTGATTTTAATAGTGGAGCTTTTAATCCAAATATGTGTCGTCTTATAAATAAAATAAATTTAACACATAAATATCGGTACAAGAAGGCACCAAATACATATGCGCCACACAAATCTCATTTGATATGTGTGAGGGCTGTGATACTGCTCGGGTGCCCAAACCGAAGCAGGTGGTTTTCTTAGGGGGCCACACCCCGAACCTTCGACCTGAACGTCTGACCCACAAGGCAGTGGAGCATCGTGGGGAGATGCAGTCCCATGGTAGCCGGTGACCAACGATTGGTTCATACGCCATTTGTTCCTTCAGGATACTGGAGCCCATGTGCACGATTGGTTTGGGATCCGGTTATAGCGCCGGACATTCGCTTTTCGTCCTCTCATTTTTGTAAACAACAACCCCGCCACGAGAAGGCAGTGAGTAGGACTTCCCTGACAGGGGCTGTATACGCGTGGCCATATGAGAGCATTTCGAGAGGGGGAGCGGACTCCCCCCACTCTCGGCCGTACCAGGGCATTTGGGGGCATGTGTCGTCTGGAGTGTTAGCGAACTTTGGTTTAAGCATGTAATTTGTATTTTACAAAATGTTTATCAAATATGAGTGTATTAAAATAATAGCCACAATTTTCAAAAATACAAATCAATTTATTAGTTGCCTTTGTTCCGAAATCCCAAAGCAACCAATCTTAAGTAATGCTGTCGTATATATCTATTTCTCAATCTGCATTCGCCACTCTTAATTTATTTTCTTTTTGTTGTCGTTATAAAAGCTGCAAAATTTAGAATAACCATTATAATATATTTTCAAATATAACTCTGATCTTTCATCCATAAATCAGTTTTCAAAACCTGGTTAATTTGCCTCCAACTTCTACTTATTTAAATAAGAAAGATTAGTTCAGCGAAGTTCGCTTTTCGGCGAATTCATTTTCAAAGCTGTACAATAGCAGATATATATACTTATTTTTACTTATTTTTATGGCTTCGAGAAACGCTTAGATGTTTATATGTAGGTGATCGAAATCTCCATATATTTTATTTATATGAGCCACCTACATCTAAATTCACGTTGTCTCGTATAACGTTGTTGCCTGAAGAGTTCTCATGTCTTGATCAGACTTTTTAAACGTATCATTCACATATCATGTACTTCTACACAAACTAATCGCTATACATTTCCATAATGACAATGAAAGCTCCACAATCAACCCATTAATTTCGGAGAAATCAATATCATTAATAATAAAAACAAAATATCCTGCATATATCTTGAAATTAAAAGTTTTTATATCTGAGTCGTTTGCACTATCACGTAGAATGAATCGTATAGGTGTTTGAAATAACATCTAACCGTTTTTCAGTTTCACATTACTAAAACCTCTTATAACTCCGAGAATATTATTTCCAATTAATAGAGTTTATATTTTTGACATCATTGCAGTTATATCCTGTTTCAGACACAAGTTTTCTATTTACTTTTCATACTCTTTTCTATTAAAATAAATAAAACTAGATCCAGCAAGTATTGTTGGCAAACTTGAAGAGAACATAACACAAACGAATAAAGACTATGCTGCTTTAGACTGTAAAGCTGATGCTAATCCAGCTATACCTGATAGAACATTTACATGGTATCGTTACTTCCCACCTAAGGGCTGGACAGAAGAGGTAGATGAGGGGGCATTACAACTGAGTGAACCAATTTATTGTAATCAAGTACGTAACTTTTTTCGTTTTTTTGTGTTAATCATCCACTGATTGAATAATGTTGGCAAATTTATCAATCGGATTAGAATCATACAGTTTTTAAAGTATGGGTTGGTCCGAATAAGCATACTTCGCTCTACTTGATATTTCTCATTTTCATAGATACAAAATACTGCGTTGATTAATCTGCACTTAAAATCAACCAACAAATTTACTGACCAGTGATATTAGTTTACATTTGTTAATGCATTTAACACAACTAATTATGTGTCTCGTAATATTATGGAACTCCTCAGCAGTGCGCAACTACGAGTCGTAAATCCAGGAGTTCCGGTGAAAAACCATGACAAGTGCAGTTTAACCTCGTCGTGTGTGACATTCTAATCTAGCATATGCAACAAGTGGTGGTATAATATCGCAGATTAATTGAAGTTAAACATATTCACCATTGGATTCCGGCTTAGTGGTCTAAAGGTTAGAAGCTCGTAGTGACATCGAAAGTCCATTGCCTAGTGTTCGGTGAATTCACACTACTAAGATGACACATTCGGATGAATTAAATATCCATTAGTTTCTGGTTTACACTGGTCAATCAATTAGAATCAATGTTTTATGTAATTTATGAAAACTCAATCTCTACAAACTCCTACAGTAATAATAATTATTTAGTATATACCGCCTAATCGTAACTTGACATCAATCAAAGTTAATTTCATAAATAAAAAGTTATTTGTACAACTTTAAAATGATGTAATTCCATATGGAATAAAATTCAGTGAATTTACTTGATTTAATATTTAAAAAATTATCAAATATAACTTCATTTTAAATAACTAGTATTTCAATGTTAATTTGTTTTCCAATTTTTGCTCGATTCTATGAAAAATCTTTCTTTTTTTCATAAACATACATTTAACATTAATCATAACATTCTATAGAATGAGAAGAGATACATTTTAAACATTAAAATGTAGCTAGTTTTAACAAAATACGGTTGAACTCCACTGATAACTGCTTCTCATAAAAACTCCAGGAAATCCATCTAGAAGCTAATCACTAGTGAGCATATGATAATTATCAGTACAAGGTCATGAAGTTTGTTGAGTTTAGATTTATATCATGAATGGACCCATGTTAGAAAAAGTGACTAGCTTCAAAATGGATTTCCTAGATTTCTAATGAAAAGACATGACCAGTGGAGTTCAGCCATGTCTGTTGTGAGGCACTTACTCACTGAAGATAATGATGGTCTCACAATATCGTGGATTTCTGGAAGTTGAACATTAACATCCGTTGGATACCAGCTCAGTGGTCTAGAGGTTAAGTGTTTGCGCATGAAAACGAAAGTTCTGGTCTCGAGTCCCGTGTGAGGGTTCGTAGACGTACACTGATTTGGAGTCCCATACAAGAACGAAACGGCCATCCAGTGTTTCCAGCCTTTTTCAATGGTGGTCTAACATTGATTCATTTATAATATCAATTTAAACTCAACAATCTCCACAACCCTATACTGATAATTTAAAAAAAATTATTTTAACCTGATTATCAACTAAAACTACACTAATTTCATTGAAGTGTAAGTTAAATTCTCAGTCAAGTAATTGTAACATTAATTTTCTAGTTAACATTGTTTCCATTAAATAAATATCATGATTTGTTTGTTTAATCTTTTTATCATTTTAAAATATATGTCAATTTATATTAAATAAAATTCTATTTGACAAAGAAATTCTTTTCTGAACAAATTTCCTACATCTACTACTACTACTACTACTACTACTATAACTGCTAGTACATACTCAATCACAGTCTTATGTAGAAACGTTTTTCTTGAAATAAAAAACTGAATGGAATTAATCAGATGCTATTTCTCTTTTTTTGTTGAGCGGATGTTTCTAAGGCGAAAATTTTCATTTTTGTTTTTTTTATAAGAAAACTAAAATGTCCGAAAACTGTCTGTATAATTATTAAGATTGTGGGGTATGTTTTTAAGTTATTTTATGTCGTAATAAAGTGAACACTTGATACTTATATCTCTTCGATTGTTTTAATGAAGAAAAAATAAATAAATAAACATGAACTGAGTATTTTATTGAGAATGATAGAAAATCTAATAAAGAAATAAATAATGATTCATAAAAGCGGATTGTTGTCAAGAACAATTGATGCAAATTTTATTCTATTTAGTATTCATTATTTGTAATCAAAGTATCACTTCTGCACCTCCTGTAATTCATACTTGTATCATCTGGCTTCACAATCAGAGACATTATTATTTAGTTATGTCTGGTCACATGAACTAATGGTCAAATTATAACTTGATAGATAAAATTCTATCATTGTTAAAGATTAAATAAAATTGTCTACTGTATTAAGATGGCTATTATTAGTCGAATATTAAACTGGAACCAAACATGTTTGAAAAGATTAATGATGAAAATGAATATTCAAGTCTAATATAGATGCTTCTTTCAGGATATAGGACGTCAACTTAGGATTGCTAGTAATCAAGACACTTACTTTGCTCTCGTCTTCAAACAGACATTGAAATAACATCCATGTAATGTATACTTAAAGCAGTTTGTAAGTCAGGTTGACAGAATTGTAATTAGATGATAAGTTAAGAGAGACAATAAGTGAACTTCTAAAAACACCAGTTTTGTAAATAAATATTACAAAACATTGAAAGATATGGGATAAACACCAGAGAAACTATTCAAGAGTATCAGGAAAACTTAAATAATAACTAAATAAGATAAATTATGGTTTGAAGACGTAGTGGATTGGTATAGTTATTAATATAACCGAGTCATTTCATAATTTGTATTAGTATTGGTCTACAGGACCTAGGGTCTGAGATGGTATAAAGAAAGCTAAACATGCCTTTTCTGAAAACGCACATCTGGTTTTAATAGACATAATAACAGTTCCTTCTTCTTTTTGAGCTTAACCACTCTTCGGTAGATTATTAACGGCACGAGGAAGTAATCCTAAATGCCGGCCTTGTGGACTACATAGGATATGATTAAGTACAACTTAAGTTCATTTACAAATACAAAACACTGACTAACATAAAATAATGTAAAAGATGCACTAATATTATTCAAACTATTTACAACTGTATAGTGAAAGTCATATGAGGTTAAAATTACTTTTACTATAGTAACAATAAATGTTGATGTAAAGTTGGAGTAAATCAGCTTACTAAACAAACATCAAATTTTCTGCTTGTCGCCTTATCTAATGAATAATATGTTTTGAACATTCAGCATTAATTACTATCTATATTTATAATGAATTAAATATAATAACAAAATATCCGTTATTATTTAACATAGTGAATGTACAGTTAAAACATTCGATTATAATCAATTGATTTGCATATTCCCAATCCCACACTCCTTAGCTAGCTACACACAATATCTGAAGTTCTAAAACAAACTGCATGGTAAACGTTTAAACGAAAATTAGAAATATAGACAACTGAATTCTGAATTAGTGTATTAAAATCAATTTTTAGGTCGTTAGTGGACATTGTTAAGTAGTGGTCCAAAACTATTACTAATAGGCTATCTGGTGATACTTTATTCCCAATAGTTCTTCACTTAATGATGATTCAGGATATAAAGTAACTTCAAATAGAGCAAATATTATTGTACCTCAAAATCTGATGCGTTAAAGTAAGTCTATCTTTCTCAATGCTCATTTTGAATTTTAAACAAAACTTCGTTTACTTATCAAAAGTTATTTTCCTGATTACTGATGAATTTTAATTGATAAATAGCTAGGGAACAAATATGACATATTCATCACATTAAATGGCATTCACAATAAGTCAAGAATTCGTGACCATTTTCAATTAATATCAAATGTCAAATACAGAACAACTTTCCTACAAATTTCCTTCATTAAAAATATTTCTTAAAAAGCCTTTGGAAAAATATCAAAGAGCACAAAAATATTTCAATAATTAAGATCACGAGTCAATTAAGGCTAGACCATCATGGAAAACTTGAAAGCATTGGACGGCCATTTCGTTTTACTGTGGGACTCCTTAGCAGTGCTCATCCACGATCCCAGCTCGCAAGATTCGAACCCAGGACCTATCAGTGTCGTGCGCGAACACAATGGTGGTCTAACTTCAATTAACTCATGATCTCAACTATTGAAATTACTATAATATCCACAAAAACCCCTTCTGATAAAACTATTTCTTCAGAACATTTGCTCGAAGACACATTGAATATGCTTTCATGATTACAGGATAATATTTTTTCTTAGAGCCTCTACGTTTGAATTATCAACAGTTACGAATTCATTTAAATTCGGTGCATAAACCATTTAATCGATTGTTTGTATAGTATAATCGCATATGTCTAGCAGTAAACGTAATCTTTTTATTTACTTGATTTTCTCCAGTCTCAGGTTGACAAACCAAAAATGCTTGCTCAGTGTTTTCAACAAGATAAATTTCAAATTTCTAGTACATTTTACATTTATCAACTTACAGAAGATGATGTTGGCAAATATGTTTGCGAAGTCAGTAATGGAATAGGTGAACCAGTGAAGAAGACATTTAATCTCCTGTATCATTGTAAGTTTTTCCATGAATTTTCATAAAAAATGATGTAACAAAATAATGAGTTAACAAAAACTGACCACTGATTATTCTTTTCAATATTGATCAAGTTTTACTGATTGACTTTCATTGTGACTAATGGTAAGTGAGTCACGATTTGAAGTTATATATTTTGAGGCAATCTGTACAAGTTTGGCTCCTACGGTTGATATCGGTTCATTCAATAGTGAAGGCACTCCTTGCTGTGAAGTAGCACCATGATCACGGTTTCTCACTGAAACTCTAAGAACTACCTTTCGAAGCTTGTTACTAATCAGTACATGTTAATTATCAGTATAGGGTCCTGGGATGAAGTTCCGTGTAAGGGGTTGTAAGTGCTCACTACATAAAAGTCCCATATTTGGATGAAATGAACGTTTGGTGCTTCCAGCCTTTCAATAGTGGTCTAACACTGATTCATTCATGATCTCAATTAAGACTCAACAATTTCCCCAACCCTAAATTGAAGGTTATTAAGATATACTACTCTACACTTCAGATCTACAATAAACTATAAGATTTTAGTTGTTGGAGAAATGTTTTCACAGTAAGAACTCCTTTTCTAAATATTTGGCAAGATATAAGAACTTAGGTACTTTAATATTTGTGGGTTGTACCAACACCAAGGCACACTTTAGCCTATATATATATTTAACACCAAGTGAATTTAAAACGACATTGTGTTTTTTAATGATAAATTAAGAATAGTAATTTTTATTTCTTTTATTGAGTCATATTTATATTTTAGTGGAAAAATTTCATAAATTTGTTTCTTTCAATTTCACATTATTTAATTTCACAAAATTATAGTTCCTCCAAAAATAATTCAATTGCCTCGATATACAAAAGCAGCTGGTGAACAAAGTTCCAAAGTATGGTTAACATGTTACATTCGTACAGAACCAACTCCACAAATTGCTTGGCTCAAAGATAATAAACTAATCCCAATGGATGCGTTAATTCAAAGTAAAACTTCAGATACTAAAAATGGGATGAAAAAATATGAAAATTTTTTAACTCATATACGTCCTGGATTATATAAAGCTCAGTTAGCTGTTAATGATATTAGAAAATATGACTTTGGTTCTTATAGTTGTCAGGTTTGTTTTATTCTTTCATCCTTTTTCAAAAAAAATTTTTTTAAAGTAAAGAATCTACCCTAATCATGTGTATTTGGATGGAAACTAAACATCTCAGATGCTTCAAGCAATAACTTTTTTTAAAAATGTGTATATGTACAAAATTAACTTAAAATGGTGTTAAGATCGACTTATTTGAATGCATTTATCACACTTTTGCATCTCTCAACTTCTTCAAACTTTAGAATTGATTTTTTGGTGAACTGATGCCAACTAATAAATCGTTGAAAAGGACAAAACAATGAACTACTGTTTTGTCTTAATCGGAAAATCGTTAACACAACACTCTCACTACTTCACATAAAATCAAATAAAGGAATTTTATAAATTGCAGCTAGAACGGCTCCTTTAAGCAATCAACTAATAGCTCATTATTTATCTGGGGTCAATGACTTTCTTTAAAACTTATTCTCAATTTCTAATAAGAAAGCATGATCTGTAACACTCGACTATATCAGGAACTAGGTTGTTATCACCGATTGCATTATGTAATATCGCAAAACAAATAACATCAAAAGTTTACATATTTCTATCTTCATTTAATTTAAGAAATAATGCATGTTCAGAAATAGGTTCCAACCAATTAATTAATGGCAAATATAATTGCTTTTATAGGAAAACAATTCAAAATGAAACATTTTAAAAAACCCACAAATATTCATGTTGACAGTACATGTAAACGACAACGAACATATTCTCATATGACTAGAAATATTCGTAATATGGTTTGTAGTTACTTTGTCTGATGAACTAATTACTATCCAATGGTGTTTATTTTATTCATAAAGGAGCTCCAGTAGACGGTGAAGTCATACTGTTAATCACCCAAACTATTTTATACTTACGCATGATCCTAAAATATTAATTACTTTAAGCTCCCATATTTTGTAAAATCCGACGTATCTATATCCTTTGTTCAGTTACCACGAAAATACCCATAGTTTCTTTCCGTAAATAAGTTCATACGCACAAAATTATGAACTGCGTTGCTTATTCTAATTACTGTGAAGTATATTGTTGTGAAAAACTTTTTTATCACAGAGTTACATTTTGGGGAGCCATTAGAAATCAAAAGTCACTGGACATCTATAATTTCGTCATATGGGAGAACAACAAATTATACGAATCTGTGTCGGAAACCATTTTCAATCAAAACTAACTTCTAGAAACATCTCAATAAAAGTAAACTGACCTGCTGAAATACTTACAGTCAGTTATGAAATCTAAAAGCACTATCTTATTTATTTTCAGTTAAAGTTGTAATATAATACAAGAGTACTTTACTGTATTTTTTGTTTATAATAATGAGGAGTTTGACTGTTTACACTCAGTATGACTGCGTTTTCAGATAAGCTAAAAAATATAAAGCCTTTTGATCAAAACATCAATTATCCTTTTCAAAATTCACCATTTGTACCCAAAATATATCATTAGGCAAGACTTGAATCGAATAGTCTTTTGTCATACATTACAACAGCTCAGTTTAATTATGATCTTAGAAACTATTAGTGACATTTTCTCTTTTTTAGGCTGCTAATTTACAAGGTGAAGCTCAACTAGGAATTCATTTGTCTGGAACATCCACCCCAGATGTGCCGATAAATTTTCGTCTTCTAAATGCAACCTCATCAACTTTGCATGTTGCCTGGACTCAAGGTTTTGATGGTGGATTGGCACAAACTTTTCAGGTTTGTCTTTTGGGTTTTAAATATCTACGTACAAAAATATAAAATTCAGATTTCAACTTTTGAAAAATCCTAAATGAAGGCCTTTGATAAAGTATTATATAAATTTGGAACTCTAAGTTAGTGTCCTAGAGAAGTGTTTCCGAAACGTTGTCCAATGTAGTGATAATAATCAAAGTAGACTAAATTAATTACTGCCTTTAAGCACATACTAATTAGAGATATTCAGTATGCCTTTTCAGCACTGTTGCAAATGATTAATATCATTGTAAGGAAAATCAGCTCCACAGTTTGACTACAAACTTTTTGACTTTCTCTTCAATAAGAATCATGAAAAGTAAACCTCTTATTATTCATCTGTATTTGATGAAATATCAAAACATCATATATATATATATAACTGATTCGCTGATTATGTATAAGTTGCAATTAGGTTTGCACTACTGAATTGCATGCTGTGATGAATCGGTCAGCTCAGTTTCCCACTATTTCTCTACAGTTTATCTATAGATGCTTCGAATTTAGCAGCAGGTTATTGCTTTCATCTAAATTATCTAGCTTCTCGAAGTTAACAAAATATTAACAAATTTTAAACATGTTTCGTATAGAATAGGACAAAAATTAAAGACTGATAAATCTACAACTCTTCTACTGTGAAAATCATGTAAATGATCTTAACGTGTATTATAAACAGCTTTTCTATATTTCAATAAACCATAGTGATTACTCAGCTCTAACAAATTTCCATATCTAGTTTTATTGCCAATCACAAAAATTTTAAAGTATCTCCCTGAAATTCTTATTACTTTTGATATTATGATAAGCTACTGAATTTAATTTGATTTCAATGATTAAATAATGGATTACTTTAGAATTAAGCGGAATCAAATTAAGGGGTCATGTATACAACTTATTTCATCTATAAACCTGCTTATGAGCCTAGTCTATGAAGATGAAGTCAATATCGTAGAAGAATGAAAGCAGCCTTGGTGTTATTCAACAGGAAGATGAACATATAGTATACTTATCAGACACGTATAATTAATTTTCTCGGTAATTGTTTAGTAGGAGTTTCATTAAAGAAAATACAATAAACTAATGATTGAGACACTTAAAACAGTCTTTCGTATTTAATATGAATGTTTAAAGTCCCAACTGAATATTGTTTTGGAGTAATTTACATGTTTAGTGATAGATTAGTAATTGGTTATCTTGACTACTTCTCGTGTTCAACTAGGTCGAAATCCAAACAAAACCTAATAAACTTAGGTCGTAAGCAATCCATGTTTCAGAAAACTTATGTTACGTAGTTCAATTCCTATGACTGATTTACTTACTGGCTTATCATTGTATAACTGATTCCTACGTAAAATCTCGAACTCGTATTACCTATTCCTAGAGTCTAATTACAACCTTTGTAGTAGTATTCAGTCAGTAATTTTTTAACATTCAACCAAATTTAATACAAATTCTATTTCAGCAAATTGTTAAGGTTTAAAGTGACCTTAAATTTAATAATTTATTTTGTTCCTCACAATCAACTCTACTAATTGATAGGTTCGTTGGCGTGAAGTTGGTTCAATTAGTTTGTATAAATATGCTGATGTGGCATCAAATGATAATCGAAATGGAGTTGAGTACTTCATTACTGGTATGTTTAATCTTAAATGATGATGTCTTGATTTTGTGAAATATTTTGTTTATAGTTATTTTCAAAAGTGTTACCAATTAGATTAATATATGATTTGAATATTCAGTAGGTACCTACGTCTTCTATCTTTAACTTTATCAACTAATCAGAATATTCTAATCAAGTTGTAAAAGCTTATATATAAATAAAAAAGACATTGTTTTCACAGTAAACTGCCTATTCGTATTAAGTCATACTGAGATAATCAGTTTTGAATTAAATGTTATGGTATGAACTCTGGACAGCTATCATAACTATGTCTAAAATTGCTATAAACATCTTTCTTTTGAATACTATTGTAGCTAATAAACAACCTGTTAAAATGTGCATTAAATCAAGTTACTATTTATGGATAAATCCGATTGGATCAGAAAAGAATATAAGAACTGTCCGATAAGAGATGATTTACCATTGTCTGAAATTTATTAATTCACAAGTTGATGTTCTGTGAATTTCACCTCCCATTAACAACTAAAATGATAATATTTGTATTACAAAATATATTGCTCTGTGTGTGTTATAGCCCGATGAGAATAATGAATGGTAACTGTTGGAATCTATTTCTGAACTAATACTTCACATATATTTTTATTGTATAGTTGTTAAGTGACTTAACTATGCATATTCATGTTCCTATTATTATAAGCTTTATTTTAACACATTTTGACTATTATTATACGATTTACCGTTCTTAAGTTCTTTAAGTTCTACCCAACCTATTAATTACAGTCTCCTACATCCACAGCCACTTTTGGCTAGATCTTGTATAAATGTTGATTTCTATTTTATGGTGAAATGTGGTTTGTTTGGTTCGTAAATAAACTCATTATGTTTGAAATACATGATTCATATCGCAGAGGCTGAGATTGGTATTCTGGACTTAACAGGCATGAATAAGCAGGAATCAGGACCGATAAAGTCTTTAGATTACTCGTAATGGTTTTATGTGTCATTGGTCCGGTCGATAAATCACTGTTCTCTAATTGGCACAAGGCCACAAGTCATAACAATGTGTAGAATATGAACTGAGCTGAACATCAACTTAGAGTAGATGGATAACATCGATTGTTGAACACCTCATAAAGGAATTATTAGTCCGCAAAAAGATTTTATTTCCCGGTACAATACAGTATGGAATCTAAAGGATGATATAAAAGTAGTATGTCAATAGAATTAACGAAAAACTTCAGTTTAACAAAACAATTGTATTAATGAGAAAAGTTTTGTATTTTGCTAGTTAATAGGTAACACTAACACATGTCTATAAACGAATATGCTACACAATACATGACATGAATATACTGTTCATCTATTTTAAAAGAAGTATGAGAATCTAAGTCATTTGTAACTACTGTTCTTAAAACAAGAAGTATTTAATCATTATACATGTAAATTATATTTGAAATAATCTCAGCGATTGAAATTTAAATAATTTCAACGTTTCGTCCAGCTAACTTGTCTGGAATTCTTCATGGTTGGAATTATTTAAATTTCAATCGCTGAGATTATTTCAAAAAAGCATTTAACCTTGAAAAAAGTAAAACATTCTAAATCCACTTGGTGTTGTTTTACTTGTATCTTCCCATTGTTATGTAGGACTGTAACTGATCAGTTTCTTGTTCGCATATGTGCATCCTGTGTAGATTGTCTCAATATAGCCTTAAGTCATATGCTCTTTAGAAATTTCACTAGTTGAAATCATGAGTCAATTGAGGCTGGACCACTATCGAAAACCTGGAAGCACTGGACGGCCGTTTCATCCTAGTATGGGACTCCTTAGCAGTGCGCATGCACGATCCCGCCCTTCGCGAGATTCGAACCCAGAACTTATCAGTCTCTCGCGCAAGGTCTTAACCATTAGACCACTGAACCGGTATCCAATGAAGCTAATGTCTAACTTCAACCAATCCACGAAATTGCGTCACCGTACACCATTGTCTTCAATGAGCTGATAAGCTTTTTAAGCAAAGATGCATATCACTGCTAGCCACTATCCATCTTTGCATAGAATATTTTTACATAAACATTAATTTAAATCCACTGAACTAATTGAAAAAATAAATAAAATAATTATTCAACTAACTAAAAGATGATCTTGTTTACTTCAATTGTGTTTGTCAAACTTAACTTATATAGGTAAGCGTTTATTAAACCTTATGATTTTAGTTTTACTTATCGTTCAATTATTTTTAGTTTAAACATGAATAAACTCTAGTCTGGTTATTTATTTTTCTTAGCTAATTTGTAAATCTAATCAGTTTATATCATTGAAAATATTGTTATCATTCTAATGTATTTCATTTACATACATATTTTTGTGTGTAGAACTGAAAAACAATTTGTTGTTTAATTGTTCTATTTCATACAAACTATTTTTAATCACTAGTGGACTGATTACTATTATTATTATTATTAAGATCATTAAGGTTGATGTCATTGAACAACTTTCAACTGGAAACTATTAGGAATATAATATTGTTGCTGTGAGAAAACGAACAATCTATTCTATTCTGTTAGTTCCAATGTAATTTAGTTTAGTGTTTTATGAATTCTTGTATTTATAATACATATTTTAATATGTTAATTATTTGTACTAACTCTAGTAATATTTTAATATCTTTGCTATATTTTTTCATTTATAGGTTTAAAACCTGGAAGTGAATATATAGTTAGCGTGAATTCCATGAATTCAAAACATGGAGCTAGTGCCTACACAGAACCTATCCATTTAAGAACACTACCACGTAAGTTTTTCACCAGTGGTTAGTTCCATTCATAAAATTGTGAGATGGTGGGGAAGGTTTGTAGTTCATGTAGATGATTTTGACGGGAATTTTCTTCTCCGAGCTGGATGATTTGGTCGTAGAGCTTTCATTGTTCTTCTGAATAACATTATCATCGCAAAATACAAGTAGAAGGGAAGTGTTCGAATTTCTTCATATCTGACTCACAGTTTGTCCTGTAGACCTCGATCTTCATTGGTTATTGTCAACCTTTAACTTTTCATTGCTTACTTCTTTATTCTGAATGTATCTTCCATTATTTTATTCTTGGTCCTATATTTGTTCATTATTTTTTCTCATTGGTTGATAAATTCGATCGATTTAAATGTGTTTAATGATTGCTGATTGATCTGAGTGTCAAGCTTCTGAAAATTCTCTGGTGCTTTTTGAATTCTCTCTATCCAAGATCACAACATCTTTCCAGTCGAATGTGTGTCCACAGTTGTCCACATGCATGTACATAAGTGGGAATTTGTCATGGCGTTTAACCAGTGATTGATGTTCAAGTAGGCAAAAATGAAGGTGGCGTCTACTTTGTCCGATGTAGTGTTTTCACAGTTGGGACAATATATTTTGTAGATGATGTTCGGTTTTTCTTTTTTCGTCACTTCGTCTTTTGATTTGCATAGGATTGATTGAAGTGCTTTTGCTGGTTTATTTGTTACACCTAATCAAAACAGACCGATTATCTCATAACTTCTAATGCCTTTTAATATATGATAAGATGATCCGTTTGTTCGTTTCTGTACTCCGTTTTGCTTCTGTTGATGCATTTGGTTGATAATTTTGATGAAGTGGATTGGATGGCCGTTCTTTCGAAAGATAGGCATTAAATCTTTTCCTTCATCTTTCTGCGATGAAAGTGTGTTGCCATGTGTTTTCGCCGTCTTGAATAAAGTTTGTATGCAGTTGGTTTTGTGAGATCTTGGGCTGTTTCTACTGTAATTGAGAATTTAATATGTGTGTGCCGGCTTCTGATATACTTGGGTCTGCAGTTTTCCTGTGTCAGTTCTGATGATTAGTACATCCAAGAATAATAGTTTGTTGTTTGACTCCTGTTCTACTATAAAATGTATGTCATCAAACACGTTGTTGATCAGATTTTATGTGTTTTCCAGCTCCTCATTTTTGACGATCACGAATGTGTCGTCTACATAATGAATCAGAATTTTTGGCTCGATCACCGGTAAGATCAAGGCTTCCAGTCTCTGCACCAATGCTTCTGCAATAAGTCCCGATATTGGTATTCCCATCGGTGTTCTTTTCAATTGTTCGTAGACTTTGTTGTTGAGTTGTAAATATGTTCTAAAGCTCGATGACCAAACCATCCAGTTCACAGAACAAAACTCCACCAAAAAGTTATTACCACTGTATTAGTATCATTCTAAACATAATGAAATTTATTTGTTTAGAATTCTATCGATTGATATCTGCCAAATTACTTTAGCCATTTAACTTTCTTTTTTAATTCATTACCATATAATAATAATAACTTGAACTGTAATTAGGCCATAATTTGTTCTAAACACCTTACTAGAATATTTGTTTTACCAGTCACTTAAAAAATATCATGGTTACTTCTTAGAATAATTTTTACGTCACTTCGAAAATTTATATTGAACTGTAATTGTAAACTTTCATAAGTTTGCTACATCATTTAACTTTACCATGTAGATGACTTTAAACGCTTAGTATGTTTACAATATATGACGTGTGTTCACACTAACAAGTGTCAGAATTTACTTCCATATAGGTTTCCTAATTACAATTTTTAATAGAAAAAAACCCATCATAATTCAACGAATTTAGATCATTCATTTAGACTATGCAGTTGAATAGATACTTTCAAAGAAAAAGAGTATGCTTATTTAAAAAGGAATTATATTATTCTATTTTCTATATTTTTAATTCTTAGAATAATTTATTTTTATTAACCTTTATTATATAGTAGATTCATACAATGGTCGTGAACCTATACCACCTTTATCAAATTCTGGTTATTCAGATGACAATGCTTTATTAATCATAGTATCTGCATGTGTTTTTGGATTTGTTATTCTTCTTGTTAACGTCATAGTTATTATTTTCTTAATTAAACGACGTCGTCATCGTAATATGATGAGAAGACGACAATATAAATCTGATCAAGGAGTTACTATGACAAATGGAGTTGCATTAACACGTCATGATCAATCTGGTAATGATATGAAAGCACATCTTCAATCATCTTTTATTGATCAAAATGATAATTTTGTAGATACAGATATCAGTACAACATGTATATGTTGTCCACCTAACAAAAAAAAACTCATAAGTTCAGGTAAAGTAACTTTTATTAACTTTCTATCTTTATATAAATTAACTGATAATCAAAGTAGGAAATAAAAAGCCATATGTGTGTTGCAGTTTAGTTGATATTACCTAAGTATGATACATCAGTTATTTTGATGAAACTATTATTTCATTAAGGAGATGATTGATGGTGTCGATGGCTACATTAATTTATTGTCATTTATAAAAAAAACTGAATAGCTTTTCAAGAGAATTTGTAACCTAAACTATTCATCATTAAAATTAAACACTTAAGTAATCTATTGGTTCACTATTCACTAATTTATGTTCTAAACATTCACACACTCTTCAAGAAAGCTCATTTGTCATATCAATGTAATATCATTCATACTAGGATAATGAATCTCAACAAAATAAAAAAGCTAATTAGATAAATAAATAGTCACGTACGAATCTACTGTTGGAATAAATTTAACTCTATAATTTATTGGTAGTTAGTTTTAAAAAAATGACAATAATACAAAATGAATGTTCTAACGTACCAAACTTATGAATCACATATAATACAACATGGTTTACTCTTAGATATAACTATATAGCCACAAATATACAGTATCTAATTATTTCAATACAGAGTTCACCGTCACTCACTAATATATTGATTACACATGAACCAAAGGAAATATGAATAATTTCTTACTAAATGACACCTAGTTTAGCTGTGGAAAAATATATGAGAAAATTTAAGTAAATTTTACAAATTACTTTCAATAAACAGTACCAACTGGTTGTTGATTCTACTCAAATATTTATCCACACCCGAATCCACTTTTAATTTAGATGTGCTAACTGTAGTGATAGCCTTTTAATTTCTACCCAGTGAAAGATTGTTGTTTCATAGTTTTAAGAATAATAATAAAGAGGATCACTTTAAAAGATGAAGAATATACTTTATAGACTATGTTTTGTCCTAGATATATTTATTCACTGATAATATAATTCGATAATCTTTTTAGCCTACATATACTAAACAAATCTGTTCATCTATTCCCTAGAGAAGTAGTTAAAGCAGGGATGAAAACAATGAAAATTCATCATCTAATCTGCTAGAATTCAGCAAATAATTGGTATAGTTATTTTTACAGATTTGTTCCATCGAAAGAGAGTATTAGCTACGAGGTTGTAAACCATTGATAATAAGGGAACACTGGATAGATATTTTAAAATAATTTCAGATTCGTCAATGGCAAACACATAGAACTGTCATTATCTGATTGTTCAGATATTATAACTTCATTCAATTCACTCATCTAATATCATTGCCTAATAGCTACCTTGTTTCCAGCTTTTCTGACTCAAGCAGCCAGAGTTTCTTCACTGTTAATTATTTATTCGAGCTTTTTAGGTCTAAAATAGGTATATACAATCACAAATATGTTATTCCACGCACGGTTGTTAGTTTATAACTGCTTACAACTTGAAGAATTATGTACCTTTGAGGACTATTGAAAGTCAAAAACTAGTCCATTTTCATTTTATACTACTTAATATTGATAAGTAGCATATTTAATATTTAATAATTATCAAAACTTGGCTGTCGGGATTTTTCATGTTAGAAGACAGATGGAAAACCAAGTGCTAAAATTGGTCGTTACTCTCAGGGTGTCTATACAGGTTCTCGTGAATGAAATTTGCTAATCTGACAAGCTGAAACCCTCAATACCAAGTTTTTAACGGCTGACAACTGATCTTTATAATTTCAATAATTTTAAAAGTTGATCTCATGAGTCGATCTAATCTAGATCACCACTGAAAAGGTGGGAGATCTGGACAGCCGTTTTGTCCTTGTATGGGACTCCTTAGCAATGCGCATCCAAGGTCCCGCACTGCTGAGGTTTTCCATACTTGGACAAAACGGCTGTCCAGATCTTTCACCTTTTCAATTATGGTCTAGCTTAGATTAACTCATAAATTCAACTATTAAAGTTACTATAATCTCCACAAATCCTCATTCTGATAACTTCAATAATGCCAGACAAAAAGATTACAAATTATTTTAAATATCAAGTCAATAATTAGTAACTTTGTGAAGCAGTTATTTGTTTTGGTTTGACCATTTTCAATTTTCTCTCAACGTTGAAAAAACTTCAGTAAGTACGATACATTGATCTATTGGTTGACCATTAGGCATAACACATAGGTCAAACAATATCATTCAGTGACTTACTCCATTCACGAAGAAATTTGCCTCAACAGAGTTAAATTCATTTCCACTGAAGTCACTAAGTACTAAATATTTGAAGACTATAAAACCCATAATCATTTGAGTTTCACTGTTTTCTTGGATTATCGATTAGTATACTAAGCCTTCAGAATGGCTTGCAAATAGATTTGTTGCTTTAGAAGTATTATGTGCAACTGTTTATAATTAAATGATATTACTTAATACCTAACACAGCTTAATTGCCATCCATTCATTGTGCAATATTATTATTTGTTTATTAGGTTATGTAAAAGCAGACTCTTATGGTAACTTTTCCCGTACACATGGTTATGCACCTCATGATATTTGTCCATCTCAATGTTCTCAGTATATACCTACAGATGTTGATCAACAAGGAAATTTGATGAATCATAACATCACAAGCAGTAATCCAGATTTTAATCACTTAACTTCTAATCAAATGACAACAAGTTATCCGGTTCGCCATTTAACATCTCCAAATCCATATTACAATCATACACTGAATTATCCAATGACTCGTCATGGTTCTACTGAACTCGGAATAGTTTATTCATCAGCAAACCCAGTTAATCAATTAAGACATGAACAAGGAAGTATAAAACATTCTACTCGTCATAGTCAACACACTCCAAGGCAACCAAATCAGTCTCGTTACTATGGTGTAAGCTAATTTTTTATTCAGCCAACATTTATTGATAAATGCCTAACATAATACATTTAAATCAATATAATGTTTTCTTGTACAGAAGCTAAAATGAACGATTTAAATGTTAGGTGATGCTATTGTTCAGTAGTCGCCAGCAGAAAACATACCACTTGCTTGTGGTAATATCAGTGATACATTGAGGTTTTTAACAGATCACTTAACTGTGTTTAACTTCCACTCTTAGATTACTTGAACTCTTTTTTACTAAATTTCTTTATTTCAAAGTCCCAATACCTGTAGGAAAATTCTCAGTGTTAGTGTTATGGAAAATATATTTGTATATAATCACTTAACTACAGTAAGGTAGTAAGTCACTAAACTTAGTTAAATAATCAGTTAAAACTAACGAAGAACCCAGTACATACTGGCTTCGGTTTAAGTTAATGCAGTACATTAGCTCAGTAACATAATTACCAAAATAAATACCAGGATAGTAAAAGTAGACATGTAAAACACTACAATAGGAGAGAGGAATGTGTATTTATTGCGAGAAGTTACTATGCCTTTACATTCTTGTGAGTAGTTCCCATCACAGGAACAGTATCAATTGTAGTAGAAAAGAGTAGGTTCAAACAATACAATTTGTAGAAGAAAAATGTATAAAACCATTTCAAGGGAAGAAAAACAGTGAGTCTGTCTGTACCATAATGACCGATTCTGCGACACGTCATCCAATGTCTCCAACTACTACGATAATCGCATTCGCCCAACAAGGTATTCAAAACTTACCAACATGGTTGAGACTAACTCTCAATAACTTAATTAACTGATATCATTACCATAAACAAAAACATAACTCAATATAAACTGAACTAAAAGCACTTACCGAAACTGATCACAAATTTCTAATGCGAAAATCTTTGATCATAATATAATCAGAACTACTAGATATAACAGTTTATACTGATAAAAGAAAATAGTAAACCAGTTTTGAACATTAAGTGATTACTGAAAAACATATTCACTGATATACTTGCATAATAGTTAACATAATTATTGTAGTGGCTTTGCTTCGTTAATCAATCACTCTTGTTACCGTTATTACATAAATTTCAACGGTGTTTGAAATCAGAAGGCAATGAAAAGTAGCAACTATAGATTATTAACTGATAGCAAAGATCACAAAGCTATAAGCACATCAAGTGAATTTGAAGCAGAAAAGCTATTAAGTATATGCGAGCAATTGTATAGGCAATTTTATAGTCCAACTGCATTAGAGCGCAGCAAGACAAAGCAAAAGCTAATACTAGAATTTGAGTACATATATACATGGGGAGAAGAATGAATCAACTAGTGATATTTAAGCAATAAACATTTTCACTAGAGTCTGTCATATGTTCTAGTGATCATAACGGTACAAAGAAATATGTGAATTGTTACTGTTCTAATAACAGTATCTATTAAGTTAATAAAAGGGTTTAACTAAAGTGAACCATAATCAAAATTGATTATAGGATAGTTACTATAACATAACCAGGGCAAAGAAGTACACAATTTCCAATACACATCAACATTGATAAAACTGTAAATGAATAATTTAATAATGATTTTAAATATTTTACTAATTTGTACTACATATTCAATTATTCTTTTTTTTTTCTCTTTTTTTTTCTTTCCTCTTGTTTGTTGTCTCATTATTGTTGTAATGTCTTTTCTTTTATTGTTGTGAATTATTAATTTTATTTAAATAAATTTAGACACTTCAAAATCTTAATTCATATAGAAAAATAAAAAATGACCAGTTTATCATTGATAATAAAATAAAAGATTGTACACGACTACAAACTATAATTCCTTCTACAGCTTCGGTTAATAGTTCAATCACTGTAGATAGTAATAGTATGGGTTTAACTATAGTTAATAATTCAATAGATTCATCAGTTCAAAATGTTGTTTCTAATCAAACAACTAATAGTTCCACAGAAATATTATCTACTGGATTAGCTGCATTTTCACAAATTAAACGAAAGTCTGAATTTAATAATATCAGTGAAAGAAATAATTTAACCAATGGATTTTTTAATACAAATAATATACCTAGTGAAAGTTCACCAATGGTCTCTATAAATGTAACCACTTTTCCAGATCAATTTAATCCTCAATCAATAGAATTAGGGTCTGATTTAGCAACATTTTCGTACAGTGCACCGTTTAACTACAATATGGGTCCATCGTGTACACCTATATTCTTATCCCTTGATCCCAGTGCATCGGATTCCCTGTTGATGTCAAATTCTTTGATGAACTGTAACCAAGATAATAGCAAATTATATGAGGTAAATGGTGAAATGTCTGTTACTCCTTTAATGATACATTCACCAACTCCTGTACACACAGACCAGGTTCTAGTTTCAAGTTACGTCCCGGTGCAACATATTTAATATGCTTTCTATTCTTTCCCTAGATAGTAAATATTTCCTAAATGATTTGAACGTTATATGCATGCATAATTACGATGTTGTATAAGTTAAATATATTAAGAATTGTTTATATTGGTATTCTGTTTCTTCAATAATTCCCTATATTCCATTGTATGACTTCAAGACAAAACCTAATTTTGGAAGTACACGTTATTTTTGTTCATCAAGAGAAGTTATTCAATCGAATATATCTAGAAAAAATATACCTCATTATGAAAATCGACAAAGTGTAAACAATCTTTCTCATGCAATATCTAGTGACTTATTTACTCTTCAAAACCAATGTAATTGTGAACAACAATATTCTATTCACAAACCCCAGCAAACTCAATGTCACAAACGATTACCATATTCTTGTTCTACTTGCTTAAAATCAAGATCAAGTTTACATAATAGTAAGCAGTCATTTCATACACTTAACACACAGAACTCTGTCACTGGTAAGTCTATCATTTATATTTATAGGTATAAGTTAGAAATTTAAGTAGTTTAATTTTAGCTTGTCGGTCTTCAAAATGGTCTTGAATATACTCGTTAATTTTCTGTGAATAAATTTTGACCTTGATTAATCTCACATTAAATCTCCAGGATTGGAAGTCACTTGGTCTGTATAATAATTACGTGAAGTAATTCATTTAGGTTTACTGTGAAATTTAGCAAAAACTTCCGAATAACTCATAGAACTTTTGATGTTGTTCGTGGAGATAGAACATGGAAAATAATCTCTCTCTTAAAGTGGATCAAATGTTTCAATGTGAGCTGTGAATACTACAAAAACGCTAGAAACCTGAAAGGACTGTAAACTATTAGTTTTGTCAGAAACTTCAGATGTATGTTCTCTGGTGATTTTCACTGGTTACCTTTCTGAAATATTGCTGCTGAACTGGTAAAACAATTCAGCTTAAGAAGACAATATATGTTGAGCGTCAGACAAAGAAACATTTGAAGAGCCTAACTTCATAGGATTTTAGTAGATATTGTTGGACAAAACAATGAAACATGGGACAAGTGCATTTCAATGAATGGGAAGCATTCTGAACGAGCTAAGATCGATACACCCTTAATTACATGAAATTACATGAAATATATATACTCTTGTCAGGCTATAATATCTAAAAAGAATATGGGTCACACGTTTAAAACCAACACAAATTTTGGAAATATTTGTGATAATAGCCTTTGTTAGTCACATACAGGAAGCTGCAGAGTAAAACAATCTAAATTTTATTCTGTCTTGAAATAATTTTTTCAGCCTAAAATAACACTGCATATGTGTTTAAGAACTCTCATTTTATTAGAAGCATTACTTGTAGGTTTCCAAACATGAGGACAACCTCAAATATACAAAACATTCATATCAAAATGTAGCTTTTAAAATTCTGGATTCATTTACTCATACTTTTACGAACTTTTTGTCAGAAAACGTTCATAAGATAATTCAAAAACACGAATCGATCTATGCTAGACAACCATTGAAAAACTGAAAGCATTGAATGGACGTTTCGTCCTATTGTAAGGACTCCCAACAGTGCTCAACCAAGCGATCTAGGGGTCAAACGTTAGCGCGCAAGACCGAAGGCCCTTGGCCTGAATCCCACGTCCAAGATCGTGGGTGTGCACTGCTGAAGAGTCCCATACTAGGACGAAACGGCCGTTCAGTGCCTCGAGCTTTTTAATGGTGGTTTAAAGAACAAGATGCCAGTAACATTTTAATTCATCAAAAATGAAACTAGAACACTTAAATACACTGAAGGTCTAGAAAAATGCTTTCCAATGGTTACTGTACAATTAATCAGTTTACTAATTTGTTCACGTATATCCCAAAACTATTCAGTGACGTGATAAGTTTAAGACAATAAATATAAAAGACTCTCTTAGTGACAATCTAAATTACGTTTGTTTTTTAACGACTTTTCAATCCAATATTCTAGATAATTTTTCTGAAGAGGACAAGGATTCCGATCGTAGCCGTTATGCGGACCAACTTAGACGTATTCAATATAGTGGTGGGCCGACTGCTCAGGTTTGTTTATTATCTTTCATAATCCTTTACTTCCAGTTGTGATCTACTTAGCTATGATAGCACTTGAATCAAGTAACGTGGTTGAGAGTATCGACCGCTTCACTTACCTTGGAAGTCTTGATAGGCTGGTGTTTGGTAAAATCTCAGCACAGATTCAAAAACCTCAATTGGCTTTTGCCAACTCACGTCTTTTATGATACAGGCTAGGTGTCTGTCTGCCAATCAGAGAATGAGTTAATCGTTCTACTTCATAGATATGAAACGTGCACATTAAGAATAAAGGATATTAGTTGGTTACTGGTATTCAACTACTATTGTCTTTGAAGCAACACTAATGTATTTTGGGACCACTGAGCAATCAATCCCAAGGTTAGGAATAGAGTAAAGGTGAAAAGTCGATTGATGAGTTTGTAGAGTTTCATAAAACGATAGAATTGGGACATGTATTACGTATGTTCAACAACCACCTACCTCAACGGGTGATGTTGTCTGATGTAGAAGTAGGGTGGAAGATGGCCTCGAGTGGCCAATCCAAGACGCATCACTAATCACTGAAACCAATTATTGCTGATGTAAGAGGTGTAGGTAGATGTAAACTACTTGGCTAGTGTACATGTGATTATCGTAACTAGTGATCAGAGACTATGTGATATAGCTCAGAATCCTTCTCAATGGAAAACGTTCATTTACTCCTTATCCTCTTTTAAAACCTAAATTCCTGGATTTCCATTTTTCTTTTTCTCTTTTTCTGTATTCAATCTTTTTTTAATATTACTAACACTATTACTACTTCTACTACTCTGGAATTTGTCTTGGAATAATTTTATCTCGCTATACTGATATGTCATAACAAATTGAACTGATGCACAAATGCGTCAGGTTCTATGTTACTTATGATAATGATGATGAGACTAACACTTGAAACTAAGATTAGTAAATTAGAATAAAGTCAATGTTTCAGTCACATACGTTTTCTTGCATCAGATAATATATACGTAATGAAAAAATCCAACTCTCTTCTAGTAGTTAGAGGGATTTATTAGGATCTTCATCTGTGACTAAAAGGATTACCTACACTATCAAAATAAACTGATTAAAACCATTATACTCTGTTTCGCGATTTGAAGTGTTGTAGTTTGCATACTTTAACTAATTATTAAATATCGTAAGAATTATGAGGATACGTGTATGTATTAAGATGCAGTTTCAATATGCATTGAAAATTTTAGACTTATCAAATTGAACATTTGAGGTTCTTTTAAATTCTGAGAGTAGTTTTTATCACCAAATGGCGTGCCATTAAGAACCCCCGTAAACCAAGTAGAACTAAAAATCTATTTAATCCAAGCTTATGACTCCTCGGAAGTATGAACTCACGATTATACTACATGAAGAATTACTAATATAAACTATCATATTTTAACTTACTAGTCTACAAATAAAGTCTACACCAAGAAATCTGATGTTTGATCCTGTAGAAAAGAATTGTTAAGAAGTTTAAAAACTAGAATTAAATATTCATTAAATGCTACTTGGTCTACGGCGGTTGTCTAGTTTTGAAAATTTAAGGTTGAAAATTACTTTTAAATGTAGAGTAGATGAAATGTAACTAACAGTGAAATCCAAGACCCTCTCTTACCCTGTGTGGGACTCTCCTATCGGATTTACTTGCATCCAACTTGAGGTTCACTCCAGGGCGCGAACCCAATACAGCTCTCTCAAGATACGATCTCATCATCCATTTATCCACCGAATCCATTTTGTCTCATTGTTCATATTGTAACTGACATCTTGTCATTCTTATTTGGTGTATCCACATCCTGTTCGAATCTCCTCGATATAGCCGTTTCAGCACAATTTCATATAGGCAGTAATACTTTTTGTTCAAAGTTACAATGTAATTTGTTACAAATAACCAATGTATTGTTTTCTTTAATTTACAGATTTTATTAGGTAATATCAACATACAAAATGATCATTCAAGTCCTGATTCTAATTTATTACCTCAAGAGGAGAAAAATATAAATGACTTCCATACATGTTTATCAAAATCCAAATTAAATATGCACAAGATTGAACTGATGAATAATACTGAAAATAATCATCTTATCTCTAATTTAAATCAATATAGCGAACAACTAGGCAGTTTAGCAGACAATAAAAATCTTGAAACGTCAAGATTATTATATTCAAATCAGTTAAACCGTCAACAACAACAAAATCAACACATTACTAATAATTTCTCTACCATTCCAAATGTAGATAACACTGAAATCAGGTCAACCCATCTATCTGACTGTTTTGTTTAACTTCTTTTGTTTTTCTTTTCTCTCTCTTTCTATCTCTCTGGTTAAATTCATTTTTGTCTTCTTTTTTCTAAATTTTTCTTTTATACTCATTTACTCTCCTAACTAGTATTTCCGGTTTATCAGTTGAATGTTAAACTGTATAAGCATTCTTTTTAAAATAATCTTTTACAGTTGAAACAAACAACTTCGACATTCATGATTTATTTTACTTCGAATAGTAATTACTTCTGAAATAACATTCCACAAATGATGACTACATATTGGAAAAACATAAATCCCCCACTCACAAAGAGGTCTATCATTACAAAACTAGAATACATATATATTTGTGAATTCTTTCTTCAGTTTTTCTTTTTCGTTTTTCTTTTTTGTAAAATTTAATATTCATACCATTTTTATAACAATGTAAAGTTTAACATTTCTAAAATTGTATTTCAATTTAGTTATATAATAAAAATGTCTCTTTATTTGAATTATTCAAATGATAAACTCCTTCTTATATCATTTCGGTCAATTTTCATGACTGATAGACAAAATGTTGATATCTTTTGATTATTTAAAACAATATTAAATCGTAAGTTGTAATACTTCATTTCAATTTGCAATATTACAATAATTATTAGTTGTGTGTTCATTTGTTAATTGTGAGACAACAAATTTTCACAGAAAAATAATTTTAAAAAAAAACTATTTTCTTTTAATACTACTGATTCTGTTTTTGATAGTATTGAAAATTTAACTTAAATAATTAAATATAACTGTTCAAAAACAATACAAATAGTGGTGAGATTATAATTTATGGACGACCTTTAAGCAACTTTGAAGTGACCTTGGGAGTGGACACCCACTGATTAGGACTAAATGAGGGTTACAAAACAGTTAGAATTCTTATTTACAGTTGAGGGTTAGGGTTAAAAATTAAATTTAGGGCTTTAATCATGAACTGACATCAACTATAATGTCAAAACTCTATTTAGCCAAATGTATGGATGAATTTCGCGCCAAAATTCGTGACTCGTTATCTTATCTATGATTGGTTCGTCCATAAATTATAGTCTCGCTCAAATAGTTAGTAGGTTCATGAATTATTATCTGAAAGTATTCTAAAATGTTAAAATATAACAATAATAACATATTCTTAAGTGATCTACTTCATGATATCAGTATATAAACGATGATTGAATCCATAAACTGCCAGCCAATGCTGTAGTCCTTGCATAACTTCATTTATTATTTAATAAATATTCATAGTTACTACCCATTTATGTATAGTAATGTAATAAATTGTGTAAAAGTGTAAATTAATTCATGATAAATATATACATGATCAAAATTTTTAATTAAAAAAAGGGTGATTGTCAACAGTCGACGAGAAACCTTGGATCTAGGTTTTATATTATTTATTACTCACCAACAAGATAAATCTAAAATCTTAAGAGATCTGATGGTTCCTAAGGGATTCAATCTGGACTCATCAAGCTTTACTAGGTAAACGTGCCACTGTTCGACAATTGATGACCAACTAATTGTGAACAGAATACATTTTGTTATCATTAAGTAATATTGTATATTTCAAACAAAATCATGAGGTCTGTAGATGCAATGGACTTATGGCTAGCTTTTTTTCATTGCAAGATGGATAGAAAAACGGAATAACATCTAATTATCTTCCTCAAAAAATGGATGGGTGATCTATCTTTAACTCTGGTCAAATTTTTTATTAATGTTGCTTTAATATACCTTAGATCTTTCTAATTGGTCGATTGAAGAAAAATATTAAATACAAAAGTTTGACTCGACCAAATCTGTTGGGTTTTTGTCACGCAGATATAGCTTGTATATCCCCCTTCACTTTACATCTTTCAGGTTGCTGAATTTCTTCCGCTCATTATTACATTGTAAGTGCTAGAGTTCACAAGAACGATTATTCATAATTGTATGCTCGAATTTTCTTAATTGTGTGACATCTAATGGCTCTATTTATGGACATACTAGTGTGATGTGTGCTGCTGAACTCGATAGATATAAGTAGTATATATCATCAATTGAAAGTTAAATGCCTAGTGGCAGCAGTTTAAGAAGATCAGAGGAAAAAGAACAAGAACAGATAATGATTGGCGTGGAAACAAAAGAACAATGTGGTCTTGGACGATTGATTGACATTTTGCAAATCAAGTATTTACTGTGTGGCTCTCAGATTTTACTAAGGTGTTCTGTAATTTTATGCTCAAATGCATTCTATTATCCCCGCTTATATCCTTGTTCGCTACACTAGTTTTGGCAAAACTCTGGTCTTCACAATGACATGTTAACTTACTGTATCTTCTGAATTACTGCGATAAGAACGTGTATTCATGTATTTTAAATATGCAGAATCATTTAATTTACAATTCATCTTGGCCACACACAGTATTTATGCGACACGTCGTCTTAAGTTAGCCTGGTTGTTTAAGGGTTTCTTACGTAGAATTTTAACGATAAGGCACTGATATAAGATTATTTGGAATAAGAGAATACTAATGCTTATTCTGTCCTTAGCTCTATATATTTTGCAAGTAAAAAAGCGACCACCCAATTTTTCATAATCAACCATTATGAATTGTTGGTTATTAAACTACAGCCATTATATCAGATATTCCACAATTTTTAGCTAGCAATTTTGTTCATTAGGCAATATAACATTTATAAAAATCGAACATTTTAATAATGAGACCATATGGTAAATTAGATAATTTAAGCGAATGGGTATTATAAGATCATTTTGGCAATGACATGAATATTTTTCATGATATATCAGAATCAAATCTAAAGCTTTTGCAGACGAACACAGTATAATATTGTCCTGAGAGGTTTCAGAACACTGACTTGTCTGGATACAACTATCCCATTGTTTAATGTTGCAAACTGTCGACTTTCAAAGAGTGAGACACGGAGCTGAACATCACTCTTCTAACTTCTGTTTGGTTAATATAGTCATGCTATTAACTCTAGCATAAACACTGTGAGGATCCAATCTCAAATACCTGGAAACATACTTTGTAAATAATCTATAAACCTAAACGTTTTACCCATATGTTTAACTATATTGTACATTTTTGGTTAGAAACTATGTTACATTATATAACTATTGCATAATTATCTTAAGGTAGAAATGTGGAAGTACTGCACTCATTGACTTAACAGCTAATTAAAACATCGATTAGCTAGAAAAACTTTCCTAGTACAACTCAAAGTCTTGTGAATCAAGCCATAACACAAAAGTACCCAGTAACATCATAAGTGTCCTGAGAGAATGATTTCACAATACATATATAATAAACTATTTTTAAAACAGATATGTGTACACTTATTGAATTAAAATTTTGTTGCATACTCAGTATTGAAATAGTAAATGCAAAATAATGGTATTTGGGCTTTCTCTACACAATATGGTAAGATATTATTTCATCACACTACATGACTAATGATTTCTTCCGTAAAAATGGTTCTACTATCAATTCGATTTGTTCTTTCTTTGTTTTAAGCATGCTGAGTGTAGCTTCTTTATTTTTATTAATCCAGGATTCTCCATCAAGACAAGCAGAATCTGCAATTTTCTAAAAACGTAGAATGTTAAACTTATCAAGACTAAAAATAGACATTATTAGTGTAAAAAAAATAAGTGGTTTACAGGGGGAGATTTGTATAAATTAAAAGTAATTCCTATCAAGAATCAACATAATTTGGAAAACCATTATAACCATAGAAGACTAGGTAATAGTTCCGTATTGGTTTCGGACTATTCAGAAGTAAGTGGCCATATTATCTCGTATCTAATCAAAGCCAGAACAGTGAAGAGATAGCGTCTAATTCTACTTAACATAAAGTAGTGGGTATGGACTGTTGAGAAGGTCAAAACTGGAACAAAACGGCTGTTTAAGAACTTTTTGGCATTAATGACCCTCCAAATACTGTAAGTCAGTGATTTTAATAGCTTACTAAAATATGACTGGGATAGAAGTTTGTTTTTTACTTCCTCTCTCTTCCATAAACATTCTCTACAACGGAGATAATTTTATTTAATTACGGCAGTAACTGCAATAAGTTATCTATTTGGACAATCTAAACATTGTTTTCAAAACATGAACTTAACAATGATATCAAATGAAAGTTATACTATAAAATCTCTTAATTGAAGGATCTAGCAACAATTTTAAGATATCTAATGGATAGAAAGTGGTTTTTAGTTAAGTTTAGGACACTTAACTTTTTATATCTTGGACTTTTCAGCACTATGTACCTTCATTTCAAAGTTATTGTTCACTCCAGGGTCCAAACTTAATACCTACGTATAACACTTGTTTTGTATTTACCCCCTGTATACATGATTTATAATGTGTAGTAATCTTTCTTATTAACAGAATAGTAGATCACACATACATAATGTAGATGCCTAGGGTTTTATTAGTAGCTTGTCAACAGGATTTTGTAACTTAACTAATTCAAGATATTTGAAAATTCTATTTTCCACCACGGTTTTTCACGTAAACGTTTCTCCACTATCTAGAGATTAATTAGTTAATAATAAAGTTTACAGAAGCTCACATAAGATACTCTGGATGTCCCTAATCTACATGAAATCTTTTCCCTTTTGAAAATAAGTATCTAGACTGCAGGGATCCCTTGCTGTTCAAAACTAACAAATTTACTTATTAATTATAGCGTCTACATGGAAGTTTATATTGTTTTAGATCAGTGATCTTTTTATTAAAACCTATAAAATGGTAGAATAAAACTTCTAGCATGAGTGATGTTGAATTGTAACGTTTAAAAAAAAGAATACCGACCTACCCTTTCTTCTTTTGTATAGTCATTCTTATCAGAAGTTGCTAAAATTTCTCTGACTAATCGGATCAGCATAATAAATTCATCACGACATTCTAAACAATATTAAATAAACAAATTATCTACATATGAATAATATTTTTATTAGGTACCTATCCATTCTAAAATATGCATTGCTTCTTTTTGTTCATATTTAACAGCTAGTTTATGTGCAGTTTCGCCGTGGATATTTTTTCTATAGACGTCAACACCAGCAAAATACAAATATTTTATTAAATCAGCGTGATTCCACATAGCAGCATAATGTACTAAATTGCACCCTTTTTGTGTAGAAGGGGGAAAATAAGTTTTTAGAGCATTAGTTTAAAACTCACCATTTTTTCCAGTTTTATTTAGTTCGTTATAACCATTGCTTATCGCCTTTTCGATAAAATTCCTGGAATCCAATATTGCAAATAATTCAATAGCGGAATTGTGCATTTCGTCACATTCATTCATAGATTGTAGATAACCTTCTGGATCTTTATCATATTCTTTCAAAAATTTCTGGATTTTATCACTGTCACCCTGAAGAATGAGTTCTATTAATTGGGACATTGTTCAAATCTAAGACCAAGAAAATTGAAAAATTTTAACTTCGTAGATGTTCAATAATTCAGGTGAACTCATATTATGATGAGTAAAAATTCACCATCCTGTAGACTGAGACACAAAGACGACAAAGTTTCTACTTAATTAGTGTTCTTCATTGTTTGATAAATGAATATACGTATATATACCTATAAATAAACTCTGACAAGTGGTTAAATGGTCGATAAAGTTATGAGATTACTCGATCCCAACATAAAACCCTGAAAGTTTTCTGCATACAGTTAACAATCAAAGAAAGACTCAATTATTTTATAATTGTTTAATTTACACACATCTTTAGCAATTAAAAGTAAATGACTGACATATGGCATTAACATCAGATATACTACAGTAATAACTACAGCACTGGCCATTCAGTTAGTCATAGGCAGTTTAGGTCTCTTCATAAATGTGAATAGACTTCAGTTATCACAAATCATACAAGAACGTAAAATAGAGAGAGCAGTGAGACTGGAAAAAGCGGAGTAGAGTAACAACAATAATAGCTCTAGAAAGACAAACATATTTTAACTTAATATTTAGAAATCATAGAAAATACCTATGACAGCCTTTTAATATTTAATACTCAAGGTTGTAGTTATAACTTACGATAATAACAGTCTGCATCTAGCTAACCCCTACTGATGCAAACTTATAGAGGGCTTAACTACATTTAAAAGCTGAAATCAATATAAGCCCTTGTCAGACATTACAAGTCTGATATCTTGAAGCTTTCCGGCTAGCCAGTCATCATCAACATGTAGTTTGAGAGGAATGTACGACTACCAAAGTTTCCGTACCATATGAAGTAGTACAATCTTAAAGCGTTTATCATACTTGTGTCCATGTTTTTAACCTTGTAAAAAAAGCGTTTTTACAAACAAATACTTATGTCGCTACTTACAAATTCTTAACGTTAAAAACAACATCTACTGTGTAAAATTTAGCAATCACACACTTACTTATGTGTCAGCAAATATGTTGTGATCTCATTGAATAATTTATTAGCTAAGTAGATGATTTGTATAACCTCACAGCAACCAGAAAAAGGGCTGAATAATAATTAGTTGTGGAGTGTACAGGATCAGATACACATTTTAGACAAAAACAATTTCCTGAACCTTCTGTACAGAACACTATCCACAAAGACCATATCCCACTAATATATGTATGTAAACTTACTAAAATATTACTTTATGCATATAAAACCCGAAAAATCAGGCGTCAAGTGTAAAGGACATGCTTTTATGTGTAATTTGGTAAAATATTGTTGAGACATTTAAAACTATACATTTCTGTTTTACCTATGAATGTAAGCAATTATAGAGAATTATTTTTCTTATGGACAAACTGTTTACCTAACAGTTAATTTGTTGTATGTAGAACAAACCACTTCTAATGTCACTAGTGATACACAACTTATTCGTATGCGCTTTGTCTTAAGAAATGTTTTTGTTACATATCCCAAATTTTGTAGGGTTTTTATTAATAAAGACCCCTAACTGAGGCTTGATCCATAATTCTCTAGTGCAGAAAGGCTCAAATCTAGCCTAATGGTAATAGAGCTTTGTGAATTCGAATACTTCATACTAAATAATAAAAGTCCGCTAGTTGAAGTAAACGTTGTCATTGTTTAGGTCAAGTTATGTTAAAGTTCTCCAAAGGATGATCTTTAGAAGGTTTTAATGATGGCAAATTAGTTATTGAAACCCTAATAGGTAGCTTGAAGAAGAATCTACTAGCTAAAGAACTAAAACCTCATTCGAATAAACACCTTGACGCAATTCAGTTTTAGTAGTAAATATAACATGATTTAATGTGATCAAAAATAAAACCCGATAAAGATTTGGAAAGAACGAATATATTTATTTAAGTCTATTGATAGCTTGTCATAAGGATCAACTTAAAACCACATAAGTGTGACTATCTATCCATCTACCGATTCTTTTCTGTTGTTTATTTTGAGCTCAGTTTTGTGATTAACCCAAAATTGGTATCCTTCTAATATCTGTCTACCTGTCTGTCTGCCTGTCTGACTAATAATTTAAGTATTGCACATTCGAAAAGCATTTCAGTACATAACACCGCACTTCAGTTCAATTCAATTTCAGTCCGCGAAATGCAATTCTTAGTTCTTATAACTCTAGCTCCAGGGTACTTTCTAGTCCAATAAAACTGCTGAACATCCTAGTACCACTGTAGCTTTAGTTCCAACATAACTTCAGAAAGCCCTACATCTAGTGCTAACTGAACTGTCACTTCAGTCAGGCTTTATATCCATTCACATTCACTCCGTCTTGATTTCAACTGCTTTTGGCGTACACTTTAGCCTCTTTAATCATTGAAAAGTGGACTTAATAATAATACTATCTGACTTTTCATTCAACCCATTCGTTATTAGTCATCCCGAATGATGATGCGAACAGTTCCCTGAAGACGTCCAGGCAAGTTAACGGGACGAAACGTTGGAATTATCTAAATTTCAAACGCTGATATTACTTTAAATATAATTTATCTATACTTGGCGCCCAATATCCGTCAAACTATTCCTGCTAATCTTGACGAATATTCGAATATATTACTCTCGTTAGAGATATGATTTTAACTGGGAGACACAACGTCATTTCACTTATGTTTTGAATAGCAATATAACTTGACAACGTCGTAGCAGTTTGAGTCTAACCAGAAGGTAATTTTGAGTACTAGGGAGTCATCCAGAACAGTGTGTGACGAATTTTAAAAAGGTCAACTAACAACTCAGGATCAACACAAAATGAACTTGCATTCAGCGAAGAGGGTGATAAACGTAAAATAATGAAAGACAAGATTCAGGCTAAGATTATCTGGACAGCAAAACTAGAAGCAGATAATGAAGCACTCCACATACTACGATTTCGAATACGTTACAAAATGTAGTCAATGGTAGCGAAGGATATGTAAGGTCAAACAAGTTCTCTATTATACAACGTACATGATGATTTGAGTGTGTATGAAACAAAAATTACAAATAATGTGTTATAAGTAATTTATTAAACTACTCAGTTTGTCAGAGCGTTGATTCATTGACGATACTGCCACTATATTCGTATCAAATCGGTTTATAAGTACAAATGCATTTGTAGCATGTTAAGCTGATTTGATGAAGAAAGCGCTGTTACATAAGCCGGAAAAAACATGTAAAATTAGACCGAATGAAATATAAACTTTTGCATATTCTATGGCTACTGCATAAACCTCAACAAAAGAGCAGAACCGAATATTCGAGATTACATAGATTTCCTACATTGTTACGGATTGAAATGTCAACCACTGTTCTAATATATCTGAAAGACATCGATTAAAGTGTCTGCATCCGCCTCCCAGTGACAAAATCACTTTCCATCCTTAAATACTGACCATCACCTTACCAACCAAGACAGAATTTGTATCTAGAACTTCTTATGAAGGACTTGGGAAATTTCTTCCAGTGTTATAGACGTGGTGACAACAGTAGGTGTGAACACAAACTAAATGATAACCAGTAAATTTTTTGTCCAGTCTCGGGTATTTGGTACTATCTGTACTATCTGGTACTGTGTGTTTCGTTGTTGTTAATTTAACTTTTTTGGGACGAAGTGATCTCCGTGGTCTATCAAAAACCTGTCACTATTACGTTTGTTCAGAAAATGCATGACGACATAGATATAATATATAGAAAGCTGACCACGAAATTGTTGTTTATGAATGATTTCAAGTAGCTATGTACTAAACGAACACTCGTGTGTGGAAATCTAATTTATCCGAAAGTACAAAATTACAAAATTTTTCCATAATATACGAAAACTGTACATTAAATAATTCATTTGCACATCTTCCATCAGTTGTCTCTCACAAAGTTCATCGTTCCTTCATTCCTATTGTTATTAAAATTAATCTCTGTTCACATCTTCGTCCTCATAAATTTGATCTACCCAACCATTTGCTGCTAGACATTTCACTTCTGGTTGGTGCTATATACCATTTATGTCTGTAAACAAAGGTAGTATACACCACAGCTGGACTCTCGACTTCTCTTTCTTGGATCTGTAATAACTCATCAGTATAGTTTTGTTTTAATGTCTCTCAAAATGTATCTGTTTATGGTGTGTGTGTAACCAGTATGTCAACGCCATCTATGTATTTCTAATAACAAACGAGCCTGTATGTTTCCACCAAAAGTTTCTCCACTTTCAAGTGATTCCTTTTACAATGAAGTATCATATTTGGGCGTCCATTCCTTTCACGCTTCCCATTAATGTTATTGCCTCGAGTTCCAAATTCAGAGTACAAGGAAAGAACTTTCAATCCGTATGCTTTTTGACCTATGAAATTTCATATCTCTATAAGAACTTAGAATGATAGAAATACTCACCACTTTCTTTATTTGTTCACCAGATGTGTTCATAGTTGGCATCCTCGACTATATGAAGGTGAGGTTTGGAGTCAGATAACCTTGTTCTCCACAGTTCCCATTGTAGGGCCAGTGAAATTCCACTGAGCCCTAGCCATTGAATATCGAACAAAATCATCAATCCTCGTCAATGTCAAGGACAACCAACGCGCATCAGTTAATCGTACGCCATGGACTGGCCCATGCGGCAGTGGTCTTACCTTCGCTTGTATCTACTTTAACTAATATATTTCTGTAATAACGTCCTCTGTGTTGTACAGTCTTCAAAGCATCTATAGTACCTTGATACGTCAATGGGGTAATCTATGTAAGGTGCAGACCGCGAAGTGTGGCTTCGACGTTAGCTAGTTTGTCACACCACTCACGTCTAACTCGAGTAAGCCTCCAATCATTTCGACATAGATTATCCACGCTGGTGATCTACACCATAATGTTCAACAAATAATCAACTCAGATCACATACTCTCCCATAAATATATTTAAACGTTTACATCCCTGAATTCTTGTTTGAAAGAATTCGTGACTCTTAATCATGAGG